CATCGTGATTTCTCTGCTAATGCAAATCTGTCTTTGATCCTCTGTCCAGATCTTAGATTATTTATCAAATGATAGAATCATATAGTAATTGGTGTTGCAAAACGTGGGGACTATATGCCATAAGTAGCTCTTCTTTTCCAAAGCATGCTTCTGTTTCTTCAAACATGCATGCCTTCTTTTACTGATGCTGTAAAAGGAAGTAAAGGTAAAGGTAAAGGGACCCCTGTCCGTTAGGTCCAGTCATGACCGACTCTGGGATTGCGGCGCTCATTTCGCTTTATTGGCTGAGGGAGCCGGCGTACAGCTTCCGGGTCATGTGGCCAGCATGACTAAGCCGCTTCTGGCGAACCAGAGCAGCGCACGGAAACGCCGTTTACCTTCGCGGGGATTCGAATTGCCAACCTTCTGATCGGCAAGCCCTAGGCTCTGTGGTTTAACCCACAGCGCCACCTGCATCCCTGTAAAAGGAAGTACTTTGTGGCTATATGCCAGCTTAGAGCCCCCAACTTAAGAGCAATATGCCGCACCTCTCTTCTACACACAGGTCTAACTGATGCTGCCAATGACATTCTCCGCTTTCTCAACAGGACATTCCTTGAGAAACGTTTCAATCTTTTATCGTAAAATGTCACCAGCACAGGTGAGGTGGGATGGGTCTGAATCACAACCTTGCTGAAGTTAAGCAGGTCTAGCTATGGTCAGTGATAGCATGGGGACCCGTGTTGGCTTTCTTCCATTAGTTATCACTGTCATAAATAAGCTCTAACACTTCAAATGAATGATCCTGATAACAATAGACTTCATGCAAGGGTATCCTGAGGAGCGGATTTTGGCAATATGGCACCCTGAGCAAGGACAAAATATGAATGCCCACCACCACTAAATATTTATTATTTTCACAGTAGTTCATTTTGGTACAGTTGCTTTTTATGGATCTTCTCAGTGGGTACCTGTATAAATATAGGTTTTATTATTGTTACTAGGGCTTTTTTAAAGCCGGAACTCAGTTCTGGCACCTCTCAGGTGGCCGCCATTGTCTTTCACATCTACATGCAGCCGCTGGGAGAGATCATCAGGGGGTTTGGGCTGGGTGTTCATCAGTATGCGGATGATACCCAGCTCCACCTCTCTTTCAAACCAGTGAAGGCGGTGAAAATCCTATGTGAGTGTCTGGAGGTGGTCGGAGGATGGATGGCAGCTAACAGATTGAGGTTGAATTCTGACAAGACAGAAGTACTGTTTTGGGGGGACAGGAGGCGGGCAGGTGTGGAGGACTCCCTGGTCCTGAATGGGGTAACTGTGCCCCTGAAAGACCAGGTGCGCAGCCTGGGAGTCATTTTGGACTCACAGCTGTCCATGGAGGCGCAGTTCAATTCTGTGTCCAGGGCAGCTGTTTATCAGCTCCATCTGGTACGCAGGCTGAGACCCTACCTGCAGGCAGACTGTGTCGCCAGAGTGGTGCATGCTCTAGTTATCTCTCGCTTGGACTACTGCAATGAGCTCTATGTGGGGCTTTGAAGGTGACCCGGAAACTACAACTAATCCAGAATGCAGCAGCTACAGTGGTGACTGGGAACAGCTGCCGAGACCATACAACACTGGTCTTGAAAGACCTACACTGGCTCCCAGTATGTTTCCGAGCACAATTCAAAGTGTTGGTGCTGACATTTAAAGCCCTAAATGGCCTCGGTCCAGTATACCTGAAGGAGTGTCTCCACCTCCATAGTTCTGCCCGGACACTGAGGTCCAGCGCCGAGGGCCTTCTGGTGGTTCCCTCGCTGCAAGAAGCCAAGTTACAGGGAACCAGGCAGAGGGCCTTCTCGGTAGCGGCACCCACCCTGTGGAATGCCCTCCCACCAGATGTCAAAGAGAAAAATAACTACCAAACATTTAGAAGACATCTGAAGGCAGCCCTGTTTAGGGAAGCTTTTAATGTTTAATAGGTTATTGTATTTTAGTGTTCTGTTGGAAGCCGCCCAGAGTGGCTGGGGAAACCCAGCCAGATAGGCAGGGAATAAATAATAAATTATTATTAGTATTAGTATTAGTATTAGTATTAGTATTAGTATTTATTTCTAAGAGAACAAGGGAGGTGGTCATGATGAGTTCCAGCACTTCTTTTTCTAGAAAAACAGCACTGATTATTGATGATATTATTATTATTATTATTATTATTATTATTATTATTATTTCACTCCCCCTTGGCTTGGCACCTTGCAAGGGGGAACTGCCTGCACCACCCCAAACCCAGTGTAAAATGCTCCTCCAACACAGCCCCCCTGCAGATCTGGGCCCTATCCCTGCCACCACCATTGTGCTCACACTGCTACCTTCACCTGTGGCTGCACCCATGGCAGCGGTGGTACAGGCGGCTGTGGCCAGACTGGCAGCAGGGGGTGGGGCAGGGGTTGGATCTGCCGCCTGAGGCAAATTGCTTTGCCTTGTCTCATGGAAGGGCTGGACTTGACTCCATGCCAGGTGTGAGAGCTTTAAAAAACCGCTCACCCACTTTATTAAGCCACATTGATGCAATGATGTGTCAGGAGATGAGTCGTTTTGGCTACCTCAGGTTACCTCAGGCGAAATGGACCAATGGTCTGACACAATATATGGCGGCCTTCTGGGTTATGTTCACTCTGAAGAATTGGACAACCACAGAGTTGTTTGTCTATGATATTAATATTGTGCAGTTTGAAGTGACTGGAAGCATAAGAACTGACTCCTTTTGGAATAGATCATTGTCCAGACCCATTAAAATATTAGTCAAACTTTTACTGGCAGAACTCTTAAAAGAAGAAGAAGAAGAAGAAGAAGAAGAAGAAGAAGAAGTCAACTCCCTTCAAAATGGAGATCTGCAACTCAGTATGACTGTACCAATGAATTCACAAGCTACACTGTTGTGGAATTCTTTATACAGGCACGTATTGATTTTTAACAACCGAGGCCTGCAGCGAAACGTTGTACGTGTCAAGGGTGGCCTGAAACAAGATGGCGGCATCCTCCATTCCAAGTACAGAAGTTGACCAGACTTCAAGTAAGTTGAACCTTACTTCAACATTGATCAGTGTCCTCTACCACATCTAGAGGCAGCAGGGAGAAATTTGATTCAATTCACATTCAAATTCTTAACTAATCTGCACTTTACAAAACAATGCACAAACTGAAACACAGCCATCCTCCAAAATTCAGAGCAATGGATAAAGACAGAAAACCTAACTCTTGATTGATTTGATGTTTTTATTTTTATTCAATAACTGTTGTTCTTTTAAAATGGGATCTTCTTAGAAGCCAGCCTAGGATTGTCCTCCAACAGTCTTTTAGATTGTTCACACGTCTCTTCATATATTGAACACTGACTAATGGCGTTTACCAATGATTGCAGCTGCTACCAAGCTTGCACCCGTGACCACAGCTCCTGCAGTAGCAGCGAATGTCGCCCAGAGACCGACTTCCGCCTGCAAAAAATAAGAGGTTTAAGCATTTTTATTCACAGTGACCGATGGTCCTTCATTTCTCACAACAGAGTTGATATGAAACATTGCTTTAAATGTTTCTTTTGGCGACAGAAAATAGCCAGATTTGAAACTCTCAGATTCCAAGACAATTAACTCTGGGTTTAAAATATGCTTTAAAAATTAATTCCAAGTAACAGAACATGCTTTGGTGCAAAAATCTGAGTTCTGTGGTGAAAAATATTAAAGGAATAGAGACCCAACATTTTTCATCAGGGTACAAGCCTGTCATTAATTTGGAAACCTGAGTTCGGAGTTTTTAATCTTCTCATTTGTCACTTCAGACAATTTGAATGTATGAACTGAAGTTATTTTTAAATGTTATGATATCTATTTTTTTGTTGTTCTGGTTTGCAGTACTTCAACATACTCCAAGTAAATGTTCCGTTCTCTTCCCCATCTTTGTAAATGGGGGTTAGAAATTAAATCCACATAAAAATAAATTAAATTACCTGCTTCTTAATCTCACTTCATTTTTCCAGGATCAGGAATTAAGAATGAATTTCAATATCACAGCACAGATTGCCATTACGAAAACATGAATGAATTCTACACACCTGTCTACTGTATGGTTGGCCATATCGTAGTATGGCAGCAAAATGTTCACAGTTCTGCATGACCACATTGTAGTCTATCTCCATCCCAACATATTCATTTGCAGTGCTAATTATTTCGCTTACAGGCCTGGCTTTATATTTTCTGTCCTTCTCGTTGTTGACCTTCCACTTGTTTATCCCAGCCACTTCTGAAAGCTTTTCTTTCTTCACCACTGACTTTTTTGTGTTGGCAGACAGGCGAATAGAGGGAGAACTTCCTATACCCTCATCTCAAGAACAGAGAGAGAAAAGAAACTCAGAAACAGTGACCATTAGGCGTGGATTCCCTGCATTTCATCAACAACATTGTCTTCAAGAAGACATCAGTTGTTGTTGTTTTGACAAATACTATTATTTTTTAAAAATTTGTTAGTCACTCTTATCTTGCCCAAGGCAACCCAAAACAACTTACAACCAACCAGAATGCAATCTCTTGGCTACAAAGCAGTCCTCTAACTGGCTTACAACAATTGCAAGTATCAGGACATAGAACTTCCAGCAACAATTAGTCCCTAAGCCAGTGGTGGGGAACCTCCCACCTTAAGGGCTGTGTTTCTTCAGGGGTAATCTGCCAATGATCTCTATCTTATTCTTTCCTCTCATAAAACCACCCTTTCTAGGAAATAATGAGAAGCTCTTACCTGCAGCAGTCAGGTGAACCACATATCCATCGCCTACGTAGATAGCCCAGTGTTGGTAACCCAATCGATAAATCTCAATCTGGTCTCCAGGCTTTGGGCTCTGCAAGAAGAAAGTGAGCCCATGTTTTCCTTGGCTAAACAGCTGTGCAAGTTTACTCAGAAGTAAGTCCCACTAGCTTCAATGAAACACACTCCAAAATACATAGGATCACAGCCACAGAGGCAGCCTTTTCTTTTATACTGTAGCTCAGGGATAGAGAACTTGTGGCCTTCCGGATGTTGCTGCACCACAACTCCCATAACCCCAGGACATTAGCTATAGTTGCTAGGGTTGATGGGAGTTCGAATCCAACCATGTCTAGAGGACAAATATTTATCCCAGACCTCACTCTGTGGCATCGTTATATTTTTTATTGTATTTATCATTTTCAATTTTACAAATTTGCACATAATATTAAGCCAAAATACAAACCATACATTTTCCATTGACTTCCCTTCTCCCCCGTCCATGGTTCATTTTATGAAACCTTTACTGCTGCTAGCAGTATCCTGTTTGATAGCATGCCAGTGCAAACAGATAAATAAGTACCACTGCAATGGGAAGGTCCACAAGATAGCTTTCCGGATCATGTGGCCAGCATGACTAAACCGCTTCTGGCACAATGGAACACCGTGACACAAAGCAGAGCACATGGAAACGCCATTTACTTTCCTGCTGCAGCAGTGCCCATTTATCTACTTGCACTGGCGTGCTTTCAAACTGCTAGGTTGGCAGAAACTGGGACAGACCAATGGGAGCTCACAGGGATTTGAACTGCTGTCCTTCCAATCAGCAAGCCAGTGCAAGTAGACGAAATGTTTATTGATTTTATAACGAGCCAAAGGCAGAAACAAAAATCAGTTCAAATATTGCATAATAAAGTAAAGTATAAAAATGAAAGTCAAGCTAACTTAAATAAAAATATTTAAGTCAAGAAAACTTACATAAAATTACAGTCATATAAGCAGTACAGAGCTCTCTTTTTGCAAGAAACTTAGTATCCATGGCTTGCAGGAGCATCCCTCTCTTCCCCCACAAGTAGATGAATTTTTCAACCTTTGGACCCTGTGATTATTCACGGTTTTCTAAGTCAGACTTGCAAGGCAGGGGAAGGAGCTAAAGCAGAGCTTTCCAAACTTTTCATGCTGGTGAAACACTTTTTATACACGCAGCATTTTGTGACACAGTAATTCAGTTTCACTAGCAAACCGGAGGTTAAACTAACCCCTTTCCAGCCCAGGAGGAGCGCAGGCAGCATTCATGTGAAAACACCGACACACTGCAGCCAACGCACGAATGTGTCGCAACATGCTGTTTGGAAAGCTCTGATCTAGAGACAAAACTATCCTAAGTATTCTTACTCAGAAGTAAGTCTCACTGTTTTCAATGACATTTTGCTCCTAAACTGCACGTTGGCTTGCAGCCAGAGATAGCAGTGTATGGCAGTCAGCAAGTCAAGTGGCAATTCTTATGTTGAAAAAACAGTCAAAGGGAAACAATCAAAGGGAAGGTATTTTGGACGGGGTGGGGATTGATAGACAATGTCCCCTATTCAAAGGGGTTCTTACCTGAGCCATTATGTTTTGCTCTCACCGTCCTCTCCTTTCAAACCTCACTTTTGTTCTTTTTCAGTTTCATTTTCACTTTATATCCTTTAAAAAAACATTGAAAAATCATGTGCTCAGCAAGGCAACAGTTGACGTCAATATAACATCTCCTGGCAACACTTCCTTAGTGTAGAAAAACAGCAGGAAAAACGTTTTCCCTGCCAGGATAGTTTTCCATATGCCAAAGAGGCCTAGAGCCCCCACCCCAACTCCCCAATATCCCAACATTTTAGAGGTCATTCCAGACAGTTTCTTTGTGATCCTTGTACCTGCTTTGACGACGAGTGTCTTTGTTTGTCTGCCTGCCTGCCTGCCTGCCTGCCTCTCTCTCTCTCTCTCTCTCTCTCTCTCTCTCTGTGTGTGTGTGTGTGTGTGCCCCAATTCCCCAAGCATTGAGGAGTTCAGGGGCTCAGAATGCCCTCAGGTTCTGCTTCCATTGCAATGAAGTCACTGGAGACTTATTGGCATTTTGTGATATAGGACTTGCATAGTTATATGGGTTGACTGTAGGTAAAGATTCACAGCATTAAGCACCCTGGAAATCTTCTGAAGAGCTCCCAGGAAGCTCTTGGATCCTCAGCCTGATCTTGTTTCCAGAAGTTTAAGAAGTATGGAGAAGGACTTTACCCCCACCTGAAAAAAATGGCCCTTCCCATTTCCCACCCGCAAATGGGGCAGTCTGGTTATTTTCAAAATGAAGAAATGCCACATTCAGATGTCTTGGAGAACGGATATGTGGCTGATGTTTGTGGCTCCCTGTAATTGTTCCGAAACAGCAGCCCACCTACTGCACATGAAATTCCGTTAGACTCTAATGCTAAGCAAATCCATGTGGAAAAAGCTTCCTCAGGGTCACTGCGATCCACTTTCAAAGAAGTGTATTGGTTATTAAGGACCATGTGCTGTTCAGAGTGGTTTATTAATAGCTGCTAAACAACCACCAATTTATTTCAAAATTAAGAGTACTGAACCAGATAAGGCCTAATTAATAGCTCGCTACCAGCATATTGCTCTACCTTTAGAAATGTAGCACTGGAGCCAAGTAACTAATTTGAGCTCAGTTGTATTAACACCATTTCCATATTTCTGAAGCTGCAAATGGGTGGACCGGTATGTGAAACTCTTTCTTCAGTTTCAGTGGCTCCTGTGCTCCTTCAATTTTAGAAGTCCCATTTGTGTGTGTGTGTTTTAAGTATTCAACATGCATCTGTTTTTAGCTAATGGGACGTCTTTATCTGTTGCAGAAGTCTGTTCGACTTCCAAAACATTCAACTCCTGAAGCATGGCTTCTGATTGGCTGCTGGATGTTCAGCTTCCAAAAGAACATTCGAAAACCGGAACACTCACTTTGAAAACCGCAATGCTTGCAGGAACCCCACTGACATCCATGAAAAATGGGGGTTGTAAAACAGATGTGAATAATCTCTAACCCATCAAGTCAAAAGCAGCGCACTAGCTATGGGTTGTGGGTTTGGCCAGAGCTTCTGTCACTTTTGATCTCAGATGGGAACCAAAACCAGGAAGCAAAAACATATTGCGACAGATGGGACTCTGTTCAACATTACTGAACGTTGAAGACAGTTTTGTTTAAGAAGGCTTTCCCCAAGGCACAACCCAGTCATTTATGACTTGCACCTTGGTAGGAATGGTTTCATTGCCTTTTGAGTGTGTAGGAATGGTCTCACCGTTTTTAGAATTCCTTTTTTTTTGGTATTTTTAAAAATTTTAATCTTGTACTTTACTTTGATGACCTCAGGCCATCAAATAATAAATGACTATTATTATTCGTCAAAACTTGTGTGCGCACTCAATGGTAAAATGTTTCGTAAGAGGAGGGACCTATTTCCCCCTTATATAAATCGGCCATTTTCTGTGGCAGCCCTAAGCAACGTAACAGAGGTGTGCCTGTCACCGTCATTATATAGCTTCTGGCAAATGCACCTCTTTACCCTGACTTTTGATAGTTGAGAGTGAGTAATAAATAAGAATATTTTACAATAAAATATTTTTATACTGTATACCGGTAATTTTTTTTTGCATTTTCCTATGTAGTATCATACTGAGATTAGTGTTTATAGAAACTTCTTGGTAGATGTGATCAGGAATATTCACTTAACATTTAAAATAATGTACCACATTATCCCAGGGCAGTGTGACACAAATAAAAGTTTGCTTGAATTCCAACGACTGGGGTCACAAGGGACTGAAGAGACTGACCCTTCACCTCACTGGTATTCCTAACTGTACCACTTGGTTTTGTTTTCTCCCATTTTCATTTATTTTACCATTCATTCCTATGGGAAAAACTAACGCACTGGACTTGTGAACTTGGTAGTGAATGGGACAACACTTCCTTTCACTGAGGGGGACCGTACAGGGAATGGCCTTACTCAATACTATGCCAAAGGTCCTAGGTTCAGCTACCAACATCTCCAGGGGAAATTCTGACCTCTGTCAGAAGCCCCAGAGAGCCCCAGCCAATCAGTGTGGACATTACTGAGCCACATGGACCAATAGTTGTGAGTCAGTCTAAGACACCACCCTGTGCTCCCACATACCTCCATATACATTATACTCCTTGTCATGATAGGCATTTTTCTAATCAGTCGTAAAAAACAAACAGGTAAACGTCCACCTATATGCCGCCCAACTATTAGAAGCTTGATACATTTCAAAATTAAAAACTAACCTGTTTCCCTTTTTTAGTCGCAGGAGCTGGAAGTCGTCCAACAGAAGATTTTTATTTGCTTCCCAACGCCACACCTATTTGCAGTACAGTGGTACCTCGGGTTAAGTACTTAATTCATTCCAGAGGTCCATTCTTAACCTGAAACTGTTTTTAACCTGAAGCACCACTTTAGCTAATGGGGCCTCCTGCTGCTGCCGGAGCACGATTTCTGTTCTCATCCTGAAGCAAAGTTCTTAACCTGAAGCACTATATCTTGGTTCGCGGAGTCTGTAACCTGAAGCGTATGTAACCCGAGGTACCACTGTATTGGCTATGCTTTCCTTTTCATTGTCACTTGTCCACAATCCGTGTGCTTTCCTGGATACCACCTGTTTCATTGAATTACAGGTGCGTCACTTTAGAATTACTTCTGAAAGAGCAAAAAAGAATCAGAGTGTTGAACTTCTACGTTTAAGTTTACACTAAGGACATAGGAATAAGGAAGCAGTTCAGTCAATACTGGAAATATAGAATTGTACTATTTGGCTATGGAAAACCTGGCAACCTAAGATTGCACCTATTATTTTTCTATTATTCCCAATATCACATCACCCAGATTCCTCCCCTCCCCCAGCAAGGGAGAGATAAGCAATTTGAACCCTGGGGATCCAAAGGTTTATGCACATTACGAGATTTCTATACCAACAATCAACCTGTATCTATTAACCGTGTACCATATTTTTCCGTATATAACACGCCCCCATGGATAAGACGCCCTCTATTTTTGGGGATTCAAACTTAAGAAAATGGAGGGAAATTGCCCAGAGCTGTTGAGCTTTTTTCCACTTACAGTCTCTGGGGAGCAGAAACAAACAAGCCCACATCACCAATATGCGCTGACAATGTATAAGATCTGCCCCCCCCCCCCATTTTGAAAATTACTTTTCTGGCACAAAAACCTTGTCTAATACACAGAAAAGTATGGTAAATTTAACTTTGTCAAATCTTAATACTAACTGGATTTATTTTAATCAAATGAAGCTCTGAGACCCTTAACACAATTTGAAACGTTCTAGAAGCACAATGAGTAGGGAAAGGGAGGAATAGTTTCTAAAACAGACTCTGTGTTGCTTAATGTAACTTACAGATCTATGGAACCTCTTAAAAACATGGTAACTGGATACTAGCACACAAATTCTTCCCAAGGATTGGAATAAAATTTGGGGATCGTGACCCTTAAAATCTCTTTTGGAACGGACTTCCGGAACTGATACTGCTTGACTTCCAAGGTACGACTGTATAGTCTTCATGGGAAAACCGCATGTTAAACCTTCTGCAATATACCTTTCGCCATTTTTCCTTTCTGTGTCAATTAAACCCTTTATACTTAACACTGTTGATCTCCATGACCCATCTGCCGCTGAGGGGAGACAAGGCCCACAGCAAATACTACAGTACTGTATAGTATGGGTACTTAGGCAAAGTCTGCTTAGGGCAGGGTTCAGCAACGTTTTTCAGCCGTAGGCCGAGCCACTGTCCCTCAGACCTTGTGGTGGGCCAGACTATATTTTGAAAAAAAATATGAACGAATTCCTATGCCCCACAAATAACCCAGAGATGCATTTTAAATAAAAGCACACATTCTACTCATGTAAAAACACGCTGATTCCCAGACCGTCTGCGGGCCAGATTGAGAAGGCAATTGGGCTGGATCTGGCCCCCGGGCCTTAGTTTGCTTACCCCTGGCGTAGGGGAACTGTTTGCCACCTTACAAGCACATTCTGTACAAAGGCCAAAATGGATGCCATTTACTCCAGGTTCATGCCTATCTCACCTCCCCTCCTCCAGTTACTAAATCTCTCTAATAGGTCTGGTATACCAGTTTAGGAAATCCTACCAAATTGGCTTTTGGGTCTGGCGCTAGACCAAATGCTTGGAGTGTGTCCCACTAAAAAGACGGCCATCCTTTGTTCCCTATAATGTCTCAGATTGCGCCTTTTCAAGCCCCGCTTTAACCCCCCCAAATATTGTACGTTTTTCACATGCTACGCACTGAGCAATCAAACCTTTATTACTCATTTAATTTGGAAGCAATTACTTGCTGCCTGGATTTATCTCACACACTTTTCAAATCTCAAAGCTCTTTTAAAATTGGTATTTAATGAGCATATGGCAAATGTCCTCGTGATTCCAAATGTAATACCTCCCTTTTAATGAAGGGGGGAATTAGAGCGATGTTTCACAATTCCCAGTTATTTGGGTTGTTAGACGCTCCAGAGGTATCAGCATTAAGGCCCTGAGACTTCATGAGGAGGTCGACGTGTTGACATGGAAATGGGATGATGTAGACTGTAAATTGAACATGTAAAATAAAAGAGGCAGCCTATTTAATGAGAGGTGGGGAAAGCAGTCTCAAACAAATATAAAAGGCAGCACCATGAACAAATCAACCTAACAGGGTTAATGTTTCCCTGTATATTTAAAGTTCCTTCTCCTACCAACCAAGCCAGCTAGTAATCCTCTCAAGCCCTTATTCAATCTCCCACGTTGTATTTCTGCTACTGCTGAATGTTACTGTAGTATGAGGCTGATTATTTTGTGAATAGGTGGGATAATTGGAAATTCTTATGCCTTTGGAGACAGAAATCCAGGACTAGCCTGAAACTAATAAGGGACATGTGCAGACCAGGCACTTTTTCCCTCTTGTTTGGCAAAAAATTATTTCATTTACAAATCCATCTAACATAGATCCATACTCATGGGTAGCTCTGTAGATACAAACTGTAGATAACAAATGCCTGTCAGTGATCACTTTCTGTAGTTATGCTGCTCCTGCAGGCCAATCAGGTCCCTGATTCACTTCCACCTGGAGTTGGATTGGGTGGCTCCTGCGGACCAATCAGACTGCTGCATTCTGGACCCTATTGATCTAGGATTCAGCTCAGTACATAACAGGGGAGCACTCAGGAGAGGAAAATCTCCTCTCCTTCCTTCACCAAGAGCAGGCAGTTCAATTCTGTAGGGTGCTCTTCACAAGTGGCTTCTCTGCAGGAAAGCCACTTTCAAAGCTGTGCCTGCATCCTGCTGGAGCAATGCCCTCCACTCTCTGATCCTGCAGGATGAGGGGGTCAGGTGGAAGATGCAACTACTCGTCTGGTAGGTCTTGGCCTTTGTGCAAGGCTTCACACCTGACTCCTGCTTCCCCTTCCTGCTTGAGGCCCTGCCCCAACCACCACAGATTGCTTTGAGCCATCAAACCTGAACCGTAGTGATCCGTGGCTGTCTCACCTTGATTGATGCCCAATTTACTCCAAATAAGCCCAAGCTGGCCCAGGACTCGGATGAATCTGGTGCACAGCCCTAGTAAGAGAACACCACTTGGCTCAGGAACTCTCCTGCAATATTCAGAGAAGTGCAAAAGATGGCTGCATTTCGGTTCTGCCAAATGAACTAGATTTGCCTATGAATGTCAACAGAATCAAAGCTCTCCAGCATCCCTACCTGCCAGCAGCACCGAGTCTGCATGCAGATGTCACCTGGGCTTTGCAGCTCCAGAACAAAAGGACTGGACTGTGCCCAAAATGGTCACCATGGAAGCCCAGTTCTACACACCGAATAAATCCTGTAAATATAAACGCCTACCTTGTTCTAGCTGCAACACAATATTGTTATGTTATGCCAGTTTTTTTATATATGTGTGTATATATGTATATGTATATGTATATGTGTGTATATATATAGTGTATATTTATAGACTATATTTATATACACACACACACACACACACACACACACACACACACACTGCTTCTTATCTCTGCCCCTTTTGATAACTCTCATGCTGATGAAATCACAGGAGTCTAGAAAAATAAATGATTTCCTTTTACGCCTTCTTAGGCTGAAATCCTTTGCATACATCCCTGGGAGGAAGCCCAGTCAGATACAATGGGACTTGCTTCTGAGTAAACATTGCTTAGGATTGTGCTTCAAACATTCTCTGTACAGATGACAGATAATGAAAGACACAAACAAATTGCTTAATGGAAAAGGAGTGGTGTTTATCGCTCTGCAGAGGAAACATATCAGGATGCCAAAGGGATTGATTTTTATCTTAAGGCATTATTTTTTTTATTTAATTTAATTGCATTAGCATACAGCCATAGCAAAATAAGACAATACAAAAAATGTTGGGGACAAACAACCAAGCAAAATTCAAAGCGATATTGCTGGCGTAATGACATTTAAAACACCCTAAGACAATAATACAGAGATTTGGTTGCCAGCGCCAAAAAACTAGTATGCGGATAAAAATAAAGCATAAAATGGCCCCAAAATAGGCTCAGCACATTGAGTTAAAAAGGTAATAAAAGAATTAAACAGGTCCAGGACTAGGGCACACTACCCTGTCAGAGTAGCCCTGAGTTTCAGAGCCTGCACTGTGAAGATTGCCACCCCACGTGAAATTTGGGGATTTGCGTCCACAAGAAGTGCTTTCAGACAGTCTTCCTTAGATGAAATGGAGGACGGGATCAAGAGGAGGAGCTTAGGTCTTATTGGGTCATAAATAGGGCAGTAGAAAAAGAAATGTATGAAGTCCTCTACTTCATTCATTGTGCATGGACATAGACGCTGAGTAATAGGGGTCTTAGAGTAGGTCCCCTGCAGGAAGGCCGTGGGTATAGAATGAAAACGGGCCATTGTAAACGCTCTTCTCAAATTGGGCTCCGTCAGGTCTATCAAGTAGTTGGCAAGTGATCTTACCACTTTCACTTTAGGGAGCCACATGGAGAGGCGAGCTGAGGTGGACTGTGCCCGGTCCATGGCCTCATCTCTTATAAGAATCCAGGCCCGGATTTTATGTTGGTCCCAAGATGACAACGTGTCGAATTCTGGGAGGGAGTAGCGTACAGTAATAGTCTCCATGGCCTTGGACCATTTGTTGGAGTGAGAACAAGTTAAAAAGGCTTGCCTGGCTAGTAGGGAACCTGGGGCATTGATTAATTTGCAATAAAAACTAATAATTCTAATGTGGGCTCTCGCAACAATGGAGGGAGGCCCAGTTCTGTTCTTAACTGAGCAGCAACCGAGCCCTTGGGGAGACCCAGTATCTTTCGTGCAAAAGAGTTTTGTAGAATCTCCAGCCGTTGTAGTGTTTTTAAATTCCACCCCCAGATTTCAACCCCATACAGTAACATCGGGAGGACTTTGCTAATAAATGCTTTTCTGATTGGTGGAACCAACTGGCCGCCTTTTGCATAGAAGAATTTCTCCAAGGCTTTGATGGTTCTACGGGCAGCCAGGATGGTCATATTTAGGTGAGCTGACCAGCTAAGCCCATGCTGAAAAGTGATTCCCAAATACTTGAAAGCTGAGCAATATTCAATAGAGTGGCCCTCAAAGTTCCAGAATGACTTCCGAGTTTTCGTGCCAAAAGTAAGAATTTTGGTTTTGGCGAAATTGATTTTGAGGGAATTGGTATCACAATATGTCATGAGCCCTCTGAGCATGTTGTTTAAGCCCTGCTTGGTTAAAGACAGTATCACCATGTCGTCCGCATAGAGTAATATGGGGATCTTGAGCTGTTGTAGAGAGGGGGCAGATTGATTTAGGGCCTGCATAGTTGTAACGATGTCGTTGATATAGAAATTGAATAGGAAAGGGGCCAAGAGGCAGCCCTGTTTGACCCCTTTATTCAGAGGGAAAGAATCAGAAAGAGCTCCCAGGGGGCCGAATTTTACTCTGGCCGATATGTCATTATGAATTTCCATAAGAAGAAGGAGGAGTCTCTTATCTATGTTGGTGTAACTAAGCTTCTGCCATAGCCTATCTCTGGGAATGGAGTCAAAAGCGGAGGTCAGGTCCACAAAAGCCGCGTGTAGTTTGCAGTTAAACCTGTTTAGGTATTTATCAATCAGGGTAAATAGAACAAGACATTGGCCAGATGTACTGTGACCTTTACGGAAGCCAGCCTGTTCCGAGTGGAATAGCTTTGTTTCTTCTGCCCACTCGATTAATTTCTCTAGCAAGAATCTAGAGTAAACCTTGTATGATATGTCTAGCAGGCTGATGGGTCGATAGTTACGCGGATCTTGTGGGTCCCCCTTTTTATGTATTGGGATGACTATGCTCTGTTTCCAATTTGGCGGGATCTTAAGAGTGGCATTAATAGTGGTAAAGAGAGATGCAAAAATAGGGGCCCACCACATCTGGTTCAATAAGAATACCTCGGGTGGAATCATATCCTCCCCCGGGATTTAATCCCCTGATAACATGCTAATTAGTTGTACACATCTCTCTGGGGAGACTGGCTCCCAGGTGGGCAAGGCAGATGCAGGAAGAGTGGAAACTGCGTTTACGTCGGAATCTGGGGCGGCATACAGCTGAGCAAAGTGAGAGTGCCAACTGGCTGCTGTGATGTTATTAACGATGAATGAGGGGGGTCTTAAACCTGCATTAATTAAATTCCAGAATTTCTTGTCGTCACGGGTTTTAATGGCCACTGACAATGCCGTCCAGCGTTCTTTCGCAAAGATCAATTTCTTATGTTGGAGCAACTTCTTGTAGTAAGAACGAAATTGGGCTAACTCCCTGATTTTGCTCTGGGTGCTGTCTGATTTCATATCAGACTGAAGAGATCTAAGCCTACTTCTGCACTGTTTGCATTCTTGGTCGAACCAAGTTTGATTCTTCCAGGTTAGACTCGCACGGGAGGGTTTCGTAAGTGTTGGGAGCAAGTAGGCTAGAATTTGTTGGAAACTTGAGAAATGATTCACATTCATTGTTACCAGCTGAGCTTTCAGGGCTAGGATCTCAGGGGAATTTAGGAGGACTTTTATGTCTTGCTCCAGATAGATATCCCACTTCTTACGACCGGGGGCTAAGGTCAGTGAATCCTGGAGGAGGAGTGAGCTGGGGAGCCCCAGCTGTGTGTGGTGGAAGGAGATGGCAATGGGAAGGTGGTCACTTTCGGTTCTGTTGAACACATTGAAATCTTAAGGCATTAATGACTTAATGCAAAGGCATTTCCTGATTATGGAAAAGGGGCTTGAGTAAATGAAGACAATGTTTATTTTTCTTGGTGATTAAGAATTTAAACGCTGCCACTTTAAGAATCAAATTCTCCTTTTTTAAGCTCTCACTCCAAGCATTTGAAACACCTTGGTCCGCTGTGCTTGGCCCACCCACCAAACAAAGGCCATGATTGGCTGGTTCAGATAAGGATTTTTGACGGGCAATTCCACAAGACTGGCTGAGGTAGATTCCAGTGGCCAGCTGCAAGAGAAAATTGTTTTCTCTGTGCCCAGGGGGAGCTGCATCCGGCCACAGCTGCTACCCATCCAGAATTCGGGTGAGGTCCCCTTATTTTCTGCCACATCATCAATAACACCATCCTTTTCAAATAGTAGAAGGTGATGTCCTCTCCCCCTCTTTTGCAGAAATAATTCCCGCTGCCACCTTAAATAATCAATCACCCACCCAACCAAATAATTTCCACAAGCAAAGATGATGTCTGACATTTCCAAGCTCAGCTTTGAATTCTTAGTGGTGAATATAGTTTATCACATATGCTTTTCTTATACAAAAGGGGAATTGTCTCTTCCGCAAGCCCTTCAAAAAATTTGGGATAAGTAACATCTAACCAAGGGACGCGGGTGGCACTGTGGGTTAAACCACAGAGCCTAGGACTTGCCAATCAGAAGGTCGGCGGTTCGAATCCCTGCGACGGGGTGAGCTCCCGTTGCTCGGTCCCTGCTCCTGCCAACCTAGCAGTTCGAAAGCACGTCAAAGTGCAAGTAGATAAGTAGTTACCTCTCCGGCGGAAAGGTAAACGGCGTTTCCATGCGCTGCTCTGGTTCGCCAGAAGCGGCTTAGTCATGCTGGCCACATGACCCGGAAGCTGTAGGCCGGCTCCCTCGGCCAATAAAGCGAGATGAGCGCCGCAACCCTAGAGTCGGTCACGACTGGACCTAATGGTCAGGGGTCCCTTTACCGTTTTTAACATCTAACCGGTTCAACATTTCACTTGATGTAAAATAAAGCCTTTCTGTTCTTGGTACTCTTTGTGCTTCTGATGGTTCAGTCAAGGCTTATGTTTCTGTATACAGTGGTACCTCTGGTTACATACTTAATTTGTTCCGGAGGTCCGTTCTTAACCTGAAACTGTTCATAACCTAAAGCACCACTTTAGCTAATGGGGCCTTCTGCTGCCGCTGCTCCGCTGGAGCACAATTTCTGTTCTCATCCTGAAGCAAAGTTCTTAACCCGAGGTAATATTTCTGGGTTAGCGGAGTCTGTAACCTGAAGTGTATGTAACCTAAAACATATGTAACCTGAGGTACCACTGTATCTTGCAAGCCATGGGCCTCTTCTTCTCTCATTCCTTATGATGGTACTTTCCACTTACCTTTCTGCATCTCATTATAAATATCCGGCTTTATTATTTTTTCTTCTGAATGTAACATCTCATGCCAGCCTTGGTTGGGTTTAGTTTTTATTTGTTTGTCTCATGAGGTTCTATTTTGTCCTTTGGGTTATATGGATAAAATTCAATAAAAATAGATTTAAAAACCCTTATACTCTTCTTAAAAGGTAAAGGTACCCCTGCCCGTACGGGCCAGTCGTGTCCGACTCTGGGGTTGCGCGCCCATCTTGCTTAAGAGGCCGGGGGCCAGCGCTGTCCGGAGACACTTCCGGGTCACGTGGCCAGCGTGACGAAGCTGCTCTGGCGAGCCTGCACCAGTGCAGCACACGGAAACGCCGTTTACCTATAAAGCGGTACCTATTTATCTACTTGCACTTAAGGGTGCTTTCGAACTGCTAGGTGGGCAGGAGCTGGGACCGAACGATGGGAGCTCACCCCACCGCGGGGATTCGAACTGCCGACCATGTGATCGGCAAGTCCTAGGCACTGAGGTTTTACCCACAGCGCCACCCGCGTCCCTATACTCTTCTTACAGGACCTAAAATGCAAATGTTGCAGAACAGGAGGTTCATGTTGCAAATTCTCCAAAACATAATGAAAAATCAATTTCTTTTTTCCGAAAGGACATAAAAAGCAGATGCTACCAAACTTAAAATATTATTGACCTTTCAAATGGTTTTTTAAAAAAAGAGAAACATATACTGAAATTACAACAACAACAAATTAAATTTGTATGCCACCCTTCATCTCTGTAGATCTCAAGTACATAACATAAAAATACAAGATAAAAACACAAAATACATAATAAAAACAAGAACCAAAAAGAAAACCACAAACTAATACCCCCCTCCCAACCTCGTCCCGCTGGAATGTGTCTATAAAAGAAATAGCTGTCTGGCAGTAGCTTATTTTCCTCTCCACCCCAGTAACCTGTAAAGATATTTATCCTTTTTAATATGAAGTTTTTCAGTCACTTGAAAGACTTCCACATACTGCTACAGTGGCATTACCCATTTTTTAATTTTTTTGATTCATTCCTCATTCAGAGGTATGGCTCCCAAGTAAATTTTTGTATCACTGATTGGACAACTGCATTTTGTAGTATAGAGTTCCATCCCTTAATCTCCAGTTAAACAGAACTGAACAAAATAATAATAATGATCCCAGTCTGTGTCATTAAGAACTGCCATCAGCTATTAACCTCAGAATTCTCCTCAATTTACATGAGGTTTAAACTTGAGTCCTCCATTTTTAACCCAGACTTCCTAAGCAGGGGCAAAAATAATAATAAAAATCTGACATCAACATATTTTTTTTACTCTATATCCTGAGAAATCAGATGGCTGCTTTGCAAAACTATGCAAAAACAGGTAATCTGTTTCTTGCCAGATGGGAACCCTCCACTGCGTCTTTCCATAGCCTCATTAGGCAAAGCTCTATATTATAGGTTAATCTTGCACTCTAATGGATCACTGTGTGAAATTATAAGCATAAAGCAGATAAGTATTTTGAGTATCCTCACTTTATTTTATGCAATGATAAGAACTAACCACTATTTACACATACTTTATAGATAGTGGTTTCCTAGTCTGCGTTTTTATTTTACACTTTTGGAAGTAAGCAGGAAGACAAGCATGCAGTTCTGTGACATTGTGACCCCTTACTAGATTGCTTCACCTGGTCAGGAGAAGACACCAATATGAGGGATGGGAACAAGGCAACTGAGAAATTGGAGGCTTTGTTGTGTGACGAAACTGCGCTATGCCACTGAAATGGAAAAAGAACAAAATGTGAGTCTCCTCACCCTTTTAAAGTCTATCGTGTAGATGCGGAGAGAGCACATCCATCTGTTATCTGTTTTCACATTCTTTTATTTATGAAACCAAATCAGCCAGTGAATTTATATAGAAATGGAGGAACCAAGTCAAAATGGAATCCCTAACCAACTCTTGTTCCCTGTCTGATGACTTTCCGACACTATGCAGAGATGATTCCCCTCCTCTCCTATGCATATATAGGGACTCATGGCAACCTAAAAATAGCTCACCAACTTTGCCCAAAAAAGCTCAACAACTGTCTGGATTTTCACTGTTTGAAATATGGCAACCCTACCCTGATATGTGTTGTCTGTGTCCTCTTATCTACTTGCTTGTTTCCTATTTTGAATTTTTATTGTTTTATTTTGATTAGATTGTAAGCAGCTTTGAGCCTTTTAAAAAATATATGAAAAAGCTGGCTAGAAAGACTTTAAATAAATAATAATTTGACGAGTTCATACAAACCTGCAAAACATGGTGCTTAAATATCTCGTTTCCTTGTCTTATACCCTGAAGTTTACCCTTTGCCCCAATATGAATGGGAGGGTTTTGTTCCTTGATGGTCTATTTGTCATTAAGAAGTGTGGAACCTACAACCAAGTGTTGTGCTGTATAACCTTTATCCTAGTAGGAGGGCTCAGGGTTCCTGCCAGTAAGCAAGCAAAATAAAAAATAAAAATAAAAAACTGGATTATGAGAAAGTGGTGGGACAGTTGCAATTGCAGTTTATTTTACAGTTGAAAGTAGCGTTTAGACTGGCAAACATAGGTAAATAATATTGTAAGCATTTCAGTCATTTGGGTTTGCAGTGATTTGTAGTTTTCATTTTTAAATTACCCAACATAGCTAGTTAAACTAAAAGGAAGAAAGGCAGAAAAGAAAGTACAGAGCAAAAATCATATACACCAAACTGTATTCTAAATAGGATTCAGGATCTATTCTGCCATATGTTTTATTATCCATTGGCACTCACTACCGGAGTTCGCGAACAGAGGGACTGATGTCGATGTATCTCACCAAGATGAAACATTCATTCATAGGGAAAGCTTCACGAAGCAGCTAAGAGATCACATGAAGGATGACGCTCGGTTTTAGCACAAATTGAAACCTTCCATTTAAAGATGGAAAGCAAAACCTGCACCTGACAGCAAGACACCCACAGATTGTCATGTTGATAAAATACTTGCTTTCAGAATGTGCCAAGGCACTAAGTAATTAATGAAGAAAAAGACATTGTCGTTCAGGGCAAAGTACATGGGAAAGCACATACTGTTGAGATGTATGACACTTGCTCTTGATAGTATTTTTCAACTAACCAGAATAAAACTTAGGGAGACAAATAATGTGGCCATCTCATACCCCTCAACTATCCCAGTAAAACCGGGACTTCCTGTTTTTCTCATGAGAGCATGGTCCTCACCACTATCATGATCTCACACAATCTTAAGCTTAAACCATCCTAATTGGCTATCTCTACACATACTTTACATTATTATTATTATTATTATTATTATTATACTGCCCGGCAGTTCATATAAAAAGATAACAGTATTTAAAATAAAAATAAAAGCAATAACCCAATAATACACCCCCTCCAAAAAAGAGCCACATTTTAAGAGGGTATGGGATGTCGATCAGGTCAACCAAAGGCCTGGTTAAAAAGGAATGTTTTTGCCTGGCACCTAAAGGTGTATAATGAAGGTGTCAGGCGAACTTCCCTGGGGAGAGCATTCCACAGACGGGGAGCCACTGCAGAGAAGGCCTCTTCTCGTGTTGTCACTCCGGACCTCTTGAGGGGGAGGCACACAAAGAAGGGCCTCAGAAGATGATCTCAGGGTCTGGGTAGGTTCATACAGAAAGAGGCGGTCCTTGAGGTATTGCAGTCCTGAGCCGGTTAAGGCTTTATAGGTCAAAACCAGCACTTTGAATTGGGCCCGGAATTGCTCCTGTGTACTGAACAAAGCCATAGCAACTGATATATTTAAACAAAGTTATAAATTTGTCCCATACAGAATGTTTCATTTCTCTGTCAGTGTTATCTTGCTACATGAAGAATGTCTGAGTCCAATGAAATTATTGTTCTCCTGGCTTTAATGCCATCCCCCTAGTCTTCTGCTGAAGGCCAGCGAGAGGCTCGTGATGGGTATTATGCTAGCAGAAAGACAGAAATGCATCTTCTATTCACTAATTGGGGATGCAGGAAGAATTATCAAGCTGTCAGGGCTTCAGACTAGTTGACCTTGTCTGCAAAGCAAGCAAGCTTCTTATATGAGGAAAGAAACATAGGGCTTATATTTTCAATAAAAAGCAAAAAGCATAAAGTAAGAAGCATGTAGAAACAGGGAGACATTGGGGTCACAAGCCCATTCATTGGCAAAGTACAATTACCGTATTTTTTGCTCTATAAGACTCACTTTTTCCCTCCTAAAAAGTAAGGGGAAATGTGTGTGCGTCTTATGGAGCGAATGCAGGCTGCACAGCTATCCCAGAAGCCAGAACAGCAAGAAGGATCGCTGCTTTCACTGCGCAGCGATCCCTCTTGCTGTTCTGGCTTCTGAGATTCAGAATGTTTTTTTTCTTGTTTTCCTCCTCCAAAAACTAGGTGCGTCTTGGGGTCTGGTGCGTCTTGTAGAGCGAAAAATACGGTACATCATAACTTAAAGCAGAGTGGGGTGCAGAGTATAGCTGTGTTGGGTCTACTTTGTATTTTACTAGAACCCCAAGTTCTGGTCATCAGAGCCAGATCTAAAATACATGTCCTTTCAATGAAAGCATATGATGCCTCTGAGCACATTCTGAGCCTAGGAGTTTATTTTCAGTCGAATTAATGATCCTTGCACACAAAGGTCCATTCCTGGTGTTGGCTCTCCTTTCCTTAAAGGTAAAGGGTAAAGGGACCCTGACCATTAGGTCCAGTTGTGACCGACTCTGGGGGTGCAGCGCTCATCTCACTTTATTGGCCGAGGGAGCCGGCGTACAGCTTCCGGGTCATGTGGCCAGCATGACTAAGCCGCTTCTAGCGAACCAGAGCAGCGCACGGAAACGCCGTTTACCTTCCTGCTGGAGCAGTACCTATTTATCTACTTGCACTTTGACGTGCTTTCGAACTGCTAGGTTGGCAAGAGCAGGGACTGAGCAACGGGAGCTCACCCCGTTGCGGGGATTTGAACCACTGACCTTCTGATCAGCAAGTCCTAGGCTCTATGGTTTAACCCACAGAGCCACCTGTGCCCCCTCCTTTCCTTACAGCTGTCTAATTTAGGTGGGGAAAGATGGTTTGCAGTTGCTGTGGTTAAAAAACTAGGAATCAGAAATGCTTGCTGATCTACTGCTAATCACTCTGAGATCTACCAATAGATCTACCTTCTTCCTAGCCATGGCTTAAATGTTCTTTTAGGGGGGAAAATTGGGCCCTCCCAGGTAGCTTTCCTTCGACTTCAGAGTGCCTCTCTGTTTAGCTAGCTGTAGTACCGAGAGGAGTACCAACCAGAAAAGGTCCTTAGGGTTAGAGATGCTTCAGAAATGGTCAGTGTGTTCCAGACAGGGATTTTCTCCTGCCGAAGCTTAGTTCCGGCACCTTTCAGGTGGGCACCATTGCCATAATAAGAGGACAAGGGTTCGTGGTGAGTTCCGGCACCTCTTTTTCTCTAAAAATAGTACTGGTTCCAGATGACCACAAACCTAGACCAGTGCCAGTGGCAAGTGGAAGAAGGGGAGAAGGAAGCAGAAGAGGGAAGACAAGACTGGTGCAGGTTTATTGGGGCCTGCAACTGAATAGCCAAAGCAAGGGTGTCAATAACTCCCCAAGGGACTCCTGACCATTAGGTCTAGTCGTGACCGACTCTGGGGTTGCGGCGCTCATCTCGCTTTATTGGCCAAGGGAGCCGGCGTACAGCTTCCAGGTCATGTGGCCAGCATGACTAAGCCGCTTCTGGCGAACCAGAGCAGCGCACGGAAACGCCGTTTACCTTCCCGCTGGAGCGGTACCTATTTATCTACTTGCACTTTGACATGCTTTCGAACTGCTAGATTGGCAGGAGCAGGGACCGAACAACGGGAGCTCACGCCGTCCAGCGATTCAAACCGCCGACCTTCTGATCAGCAAGCCCTAGGCTCTCTGGTTTAACCCACAGCGCCACCTGCGTCCCTTAATAACTCCCCCGGCAGACATTTATTTCTTTCTCCACACCCTTCTGACAAGCTTCCAGGTGTCAGAAGGACTTGTGCTTTAGTAGAGTGTCAGATATTGTCAGGGCTGCCTCAAGTCTCAGCTCACAAAAGACCAACGCCTATGTCTTCTTATATACAAAAGAGTTTATTGCAGTTCATTGTTTGCTTGACATCCTAGGCGCGCAGCCCTACGTCTGCTACGCTTAGACCGCTGAAGTCCCCTCTGAATCCGGCCCTCCCCTGCACCAATTTAAGAGGCTTGCGCTGCTCCACCTCTTTCTCTCTTTCCTTTCCGCAGGGTCCTTCTGCCCGCTGGGGCTTCGCCCTCCTGGATTCCTCTGACGCGGAATCAGACTGCTCTTCCCCTCCTGCGGGCTTTGGGACCTGGCCCCTCCTCCGGGCTCCCTGTACTTCCGCGCGCCTACATTTGAAACTTGGCGCGCGCGCCAAACCTCTAACTTTCCTTTTGACAGTTACACTACTCCCTTCACTGCTCCTCCCCTTCCGGGAGGGTGGCTTGCTCTGACCTCCCTCCCTTCTCTGCTGCCGGAGCTGCTTCCCCTGATACACTGGAAACTCCACCCCCTTCGCTGCACTCTGGTGGGGAGGCTGGTCCTGACGCCCAGCTGCCACTTTGGGATCCTCCGCTGGCCCCCCTGCTCCTGACACGTCCCCCCTGGGGCTCCCCTGGCCTTGACCACCGGCGCCCCCCTTCTGGGAATCCTCTGATTCGCTGGAAAGACTCATGGAATCTCTTGAGTCATTGTCATCCTCTTCCTCGCTGGCTTGGGATTCATCCCCATCGCTCTCCATCTCCTGCCTACCCTGTGCCTCTCTCCCTGAACCCCTGACAGATATCATCTCTGGCCGGAGCAAATACCTTAAGGGCATCTCAAGAGCAACTTTACGAACACAGGGGCTGGTACAGTGCCAGTGATGATATATGGACAATTTATAGAAATGGGAAAGTCCAAGGAGCTCATTAAGTGCAAGTGATCAGTCAGGTGGTCATTCAGTGAATAGTGAGAGCCTGCTTCAGTTTGAGTTTTAAAAGGGGAAATTGAGTTCCCACCACCACCAAAAACAACAACAACACAAAATACAAATTGCTTGGGTAGCAATATGTTGTTGTAGCTGACACTTTTGAAATAACGGTGGTACAAAGAAATAGCGGAAATTCCTAGTTAGAAAAGAACAGTTTAGCTTAGTTGCGTGGGAGGTATAACATCTGATGGGTTTTAAGATTCTGCATCTATTCTTATACTCTGACTTGTTACTCGGTTAGTAACAAGTGTGCTAATATTATGATACCAAAGAGTCCTGTGACAAACAGTGAGTTGTGGCATAAGGCTCCACAGATTACAATCCCCTCCATTGGATTCGTGAAGTATTATCCTGAGTTGAAAGTTACATATATATGCATGGTTTGTGGGCAAATATTATTATAATGAAGGAAGAGGGAAACTGAACAAGTTTTGCACCAAGGGAGGAAATATGAGGATATTAAACCCATCAAAGCTAGATGGGTGAATGGGCCCATTCCCAATACCATTTGCATCAGTGTTATGTGCATCCATCACATTTGACTGTAATTATCTCCACATTTGGCTGCAATTATCCCTACAAATTACTAAATGGCAATGCAGATGTAATATGTCTAGGATGCCTCTGAAGCCTCCTGGAATTATGGCTAAGTGAATGAAAACACGGGGAAGACCAATGGCGGGGTGGAAGAGAGACAAACAGATCTCTCAGAATGGAAAATGGAAAAAAAGACACCGGCTATCTGAAAATGCTAAGATATACACTGATATAAGAAATGGAGAGTATATTGGAGAATGGAAACCCACTGTTACCGGAGATGCAATTGTTGCAGTGCCATCGATTTTAATTTTGAGTTTTTTTGTGGATAAGAACTGCCTCAACTATTGATTTATATGACACAGGTTTCATGAATAAGGCTGGTGCCAAAATGAGTACTTGGAGAAGCATCCTAGCAACAGAGCAATCATTCGGTTTGTTATTTCAGCAGACTTTGAATTCATTGTTGGAGCTATGCTCATCTTTATTACCAGTTTGCTTGCTTTAGATGTTCTCAGCATATTTTTTCCTCACAGCGATGGAAGAGCAGCAGTGGAGCCAGATCTAAAATATAATTTGCTGATTTGATGACAATTCTGTGGGAGAGAGGCAGGAGAGGATATATTGTTTAATGATATCCTTCCTAACTTGCGCTAGCAAGTTCTATATCTTAGCAGAGTTTAAACATTCCCCTTTAAACCAGGGGTCAGTAAACTTTTCCAGCAGGGGGCCAGTCCACTGTCCCTCAGACCTTGTGGGGGGCCGGACTATATTTTTTGGGGTGGATGAACAAATTCCTATGCCCCACAAATAACCCAGAGATGCATTTTAAATAAAAGCACACTCATGTATTTTACTCATGTAAAAACACCAGGCAGGCCTCACAAATAACCCAGAGATGCATTTTAAATCAAAGGACACATTCTACTAATGTAAAAACACGCTGATTCCTGGACTGTCTGTGGGACAGATTTAGAAGGCGATTGGGCCGCATCCGGCCCCCGGGCTTTAGTTTGCCTACTCTTGCTTTAAATGCACAGCGGTTTGCTTGTTACAAGTTCATCTGAACCTCTCTATATAAGATTCTTGGTAAGATCCCTTCTTGTCCCTCTTAAAAAGAATAGAAATGACAATCTTATTAAAGTGAATGTAAAAGCAGTTTACTCACAATCATTCAGTTCACAGTTGGATCCCTGAAGGCAGACTTAAGTTACAAAACTATATACACATGTGGAACTATCCCATAAGGGAATAGTTCCTAAGTGACTGCGAACAGGCAGTCACTTCTGCTCACATGTAGCACAGCAAAATGGAGAAGAGACAAAGGAAGGAGCTGTGCTCCCTTGCCCAGGTTTGGCCTCACAAACTCTAGTCACATGCAGAGGAAGTTTTGTCCCGGCTCAGGAGGAAACAGGAAGTTTTCTCCTGGGTGATACAAAGCATTCCGTAGCATATCCACTCTAGGAATGTTGTACTTGACTGCTATAATAATAATAATAATAATAATAATAATTTATTATTTATACCCCGCCCATCTGGCTGGGCTTCCCCAGCCACTCTGGGCGGCTTCCAAAAGAATATTAAAATACTGTGATACATCAAACATTAAAGCTTCCCTAAACAGGGCTGCCTTCAGATGTCTTCTAAAAGTCTGGTAGTTGTTGTTCTCTTTGACATCTGGTGGGAGGGCGTTCCACAGGGAGGGCGCCACTACCGAGAAGGCCCTCTGCCTGGTTCCCTGTAACTTGGCTTCAGTTCCCAGTGAGGGAACTGCCAGAAGGCCCTCCGTGCTGGACCTCAGTGTCCGGGTAGAACGATGGGGGTAGAGACGCTCCTTCAGGTATACTGGACCGAGGCCATTTAGGGCTTTAAAGGTCAGCACCAACACTTTGAATTGTGCTCGGAAACATACTGGGAGCCAATGTAGGTCTTTAAAGACCAGTGTTATATGGTCTCGGCGGCCGCTCCCAGTCACCAGTCTGGCTGCTGCGTTCTGGATTAGTTGTAGTTTCCGGGTCACCTTTAAAGGTAGCCCCACGTAGAGCGCATTGCAGTAGTCCAAGTGGGAGATAACCAGAGCATGCACCACTCTGGCGAGGCAGTCCGCAGGCAGGTAGGGTCTCAGCCTGCGTACCAGATGGAGCTGGTACACAGCTGCCCTGGACACGGACTCCCAGGCTGCGCACCTGGTCCTTCAGGGGCACAGTTACCCCATTCAGGACCAGGGAATCCTCCACACCTGCCCGCCTCCTGTCCCCCAGAAACAGTACTTCTGTCTTGTCAGGATTCAGTCTCAATCTGTTAGCTGCCATCCATCCTCCAACCACCTCCAGACACTCACACAGGACCGTCACCGCCTTCACTGGTTCTGATTTGAAAGAGAGGTAGAGCTGGGTATCATCCGCATACTGATGAACACCCAGCCCAAACCCCCTGATGATCTCTCCCCGCGGCTGCATGTAGATGTTAAAAAGCAGGAGAGGACAGAACCCTGAGGCACCCCACAAGTGAGAGCCCAGGGGTCTGAACACTCATCCCCCCCCCACTTTCTGAACACGGCCCAGGAGGAAGGAGCGGAACCACTGTATGACAGTGCCCCCAGCTCCCAGCCCCTCAAGACGGTCCAGAAGGAGTTTCACATCCCACAAATTCTCCTTTAATTCGCATTTTGGATATAGGAGATGGGATATGGGATATGGCAGAGTCAGATGATGATGATGATGATGATTTATACCCTGCCCATCTGGCTGGGTGTCCCCAGCCACTCTGGGCAGCTTATAAGCATGCTTCTCACATGTTGGGACCAGGGAGAGGAATCTTCACTTCACCATCGTAAGAGATTGCCTCCTTCCATGAAAGCCTGCTCACACCCTTAGACTTGGCAGAGGGGCCCTTTTATGTCCTATCAATGATGACTGGACCTAATGGTTTACCTTTACTAAACTGCATTAACTGAACGGCTTTGTCAGACAGGTAAGAAAACGTTTTCTCTATAACGGCCACTCAAGGGCTAATGTTCATCAATTGTTCGGTTACAAACAAAATCCTGGTTCTTTGCGTTTAAGATTTAAGAGTCCTTGTAAAACTGAAGATGTGAGGAAATGTTTCTTTCTGATTTACAGGTTGCGCAGCTTTTGACGGTTCTGAGCTCTGCTTCTTTATGGGTTTCTTTGGCTTGTTCAAGAAAGATGGAATTGCCACTTCGCTGTATTGAAGCTAAGAAAACGGGTCGTGCTGGTAATCCTTTCTCCTTCCCTTTTGAACTGCCTTTTAGAAAAAGAATGGAATGGCTGTTTGTGCCTGATTGATGTTTTGGTTGTGAGAAACCTAAAACTTTGGGAAATCATTGCAAGATCCATTTTCCATGTTCCTAGCACTTTTGATAGCCATTTGTTGATTTTATTTCAGACCAGCTTAGAAACACGAGCAGGTGTATTTATACTGCAAAGCAAGCCCTGTCTTCCTTGCAAGGATTGTCAACCTGGTGCCCGTGGGCACCAGCGCACCCACCAGTAACTCTTATGGTGCCCCTAGTGGTCCTTGAGTTTCATTTAGGTGGTCTGTGGCGTGTTTGTAAAAATACAATTAAAAATCATACAGCATCTAAATACAGCACATTACAGTTACTACAACCAGCAGAAAAGAGATTTTAAGGGTCACAATCCCCAAATTTTATTCCAATCCTTGGGAAGAATTTGTGTGCTAGTATCTAGTTACCATATTTTTTAGGGGTTCCATAGATCTGTAAGTCACATTAAGCAACACGGAGTACGATTTAGAAACTAATCCTCCCCTCCCCCACTCATTGTGCTTATAAAACTTTTCAAATTGTGTTAAGGGTCTCAGAGCTTCATTTGATTTAAATAAATCCAGTTAGTATTAAGATTTGACAAAGTTAAATTTATATGCTTAATAGATACAGGTTGATGATATAGAAATCTCATAATGTGTATAAACCTTTGGATCCCCAGGGTTCAAATTGCTTATCTCTCCCTTGCTGGGGAATAAAATCTAGCTGATGTGATATTGGGATTAATGGAAAAGTTATAGTTGCAATCTTAGGTTGCCAGGTTTTCCATAGCCAAATTCTATATTTCCAGTATTGATTGAACTGCTTCCTTATTGCTGATTATTTCCTTATTATCCTGGTTATTTTTTGCTCCTTCAGAAGCAATTCTAAAGTGACGCACCTGTAATTCAATGAAACAGGTGGTTTCCAGGAAAGCACACCGATTGTGGACAAGTGACAATGAAAAGGAAAGCATAGCCAATAACTGCAAATAGAAGGCCACAAAACACAGTGCCGGTGGAGATGGAAACAGCAGCTCCTGCGATTAAAAAGAGGGAAAGGGTTACGTATTTTTAAATTTTGAAATGTGTCAAGCTTCTAGTATTTGGGAGGCATATGGGTGGACGATTCCTTGTTTGTTTGTTTGTTTGTGTGTTTGTTTGTTTGTTTGTTTGTTTGTTTACGACTGATTAGCATAATGCCTGTCATGACAATGAGGAGAATGTATATGGAGGTACATGTCTTAGACTGAGTCAGAACTATTGGTCCATGTGGCTCAGTAATGTCCACACTGATTGGCTGGGGCTCTCTGGGGCTTCTGACAGGGGTCAGAATGTACCTCCATATACATTCTCCTCATTGTCAGAATGTCCCCTGGAGATGTTGGTAGCTGAACCTAGGACCTCTGGCATAGTATTGAGTATTGAGCCATTCCCTGTACGGTCTCCCTCAGTGAAAGGCAGTGTTGTCCCATTCACTAGCAAGGAGTTCACAAGTCCAGTGTGTTAGTTTCCCCCCAAACGTATGAATGGTAAAAGAAATGAAAATGGGAGAAAATAAAACAAAGTGGTACACTTAGGAATACCAATGAGGTGACGGCTCAATCTGATCTCAGTCCCTGGTGACCCCAGCCTTTGGAATTCAAGCCAACTTTTATTTGCTGTGTGGCACTGCCCTGGGATAATGTGGTGCATTAATTTGAAATTTTTAAAAAAGTAAGTGTATATTCCTGAACATATCTACTGAGAAGTTTCTATAAACACTAATCTCAGTATGATAGGAAAATGCAAAAGAAAATTATATATAAATATTTTATTGTTAATTATTCTTATTAATTACTTCTGGCATTTGCCAGAAGCTATATAATGACGGTGCCAGGCACACCTCTGTTACATTGCTTAGGACTGCCACAGAAAATGCCCAATTTATATAAGGGGGAAATAGGTCCCTCCTCTTACGAAACATTTTACCACTGAGTACGCACACAAGTTTTGACGAATAATAATAGTCATTTATTATTTGATGGCCTGAGGTCATCAAAGCAAAGTACAAGACTAAGATTTAAAAAAATACAAAAAAAGGAATTCTAAAAACAGTGAGACCATTCCTACACACTCAAAAGGCAATGAAACCATTCCTACCAAGGTACAAGTCATAAATGACTGGGTTGAGCCTTGGGGAAAGCCTTCTTAAACAAAACTGTCTCCAACGTTCAGTAATGTTGAACAGAGTCCCATCTGTCTCAGTACGTTTTGTCTTCCTGGTTTTGGTTCCCATCTGAGATCAAAAGTGACAGAAGCTCTGGCCAAACCCACAACCCATAGCTAGTGCGCTGCTTTTCACTTGATGGGTTACAGATTATTCACATGTGATTTACACCCCCCATTTTTCATGGATGTCAGTGAGGTTTCTGCAAGCATCTTAGTAGCAGTTTTCCTAGAGGAATCCAAAGGGAGGGATTGTTTCAATATCTCTTTTGGTGGAAGTCATTTTTCATGGAATGAAATTTTCTAAAATTGAAGGAGCAAAGGAGCCATTGAAACTGAAGAAAGAGTTTCACATACCGGTCCACCCATTTACAGCTTCGGAAATATGGTAATGGTGTTAATGCAACTGAGCTCAAATTAGTTACTTGGCTCCAGAGCTACATTTAAAAAGGTAGAGCAAAATGCTGGTAGTGAGCTATTAATTAGGCCTTATCTGGTTCAGTACTCTTAATTTTGAAATGAATTGTTGGTTGCTTAGCAGCTATTAATAGACCAGTCGGAACAGCACATGGTCCTTAATAACAAACACACTTCTTTGAAAGTGGATCGCAGTGACCCTGAGGAAGCTTCTTTCCACATGGATTTGCTTAGCATTAGAGTCTAACGGAATTTTACGTGCAGCAGGTGGGCTGCTATTTCGGCACAATTAGAGAGTCACAAACATCAGCCACATAGTTGTTCTCCAAGCCATCTGAACGTGGCATTTCTTCATTTTGAAAATAACATGATGGCCCCATTTGTGGGTGGGAAATGGGAAGGGCCATTTATACAGGGGGGGTAAAGTCCTTCTCCATACTTCTTAAACTTCTGGAAACAAGATCAGGCTGAGGATCCAAGAGATTCCTGGGAGCTCTTCGGAAGATTTATAGGGTGTTTAATGCTGTGAATCTTTACCTACAGTCAACCCATATAACTATGCAAGTCCTATATCACAAAATGCTAATAAGTGTCCAGTGACTTCATTGCAATGGAAGCAGAACCTGAGGTCATTATGAGCCCCTGAACTCCTCAATGCTTGGGGAATTGGGGCACACACACACACACACACAGAGAGAGAGAGAGAGAGAGAGAGAGAGAGAGAGACAGGCAGGCAGGCAGACAAACAAACACACTCGTCGTCAAAGCAGGTACAAGGATCAGAAAGAAACTGTCTGGAAGACAGAGATAGCTGCAGCTTCTAGGATGCAGCAGTTGTGAAGGGGAAGTCTTCCCAATCAACGGTATGCCCATGCCAAGGAAAAGCATCACCTGCTTGAGGGGTGGTGAACCTGTGACCCTGCAGACATGACTAGGCATGGTGACTAATGCTGATGGGAGTTTGGAGTCCAACAACATGTAGAGAGCAGCATGTTGGCTACCCCTGCCTCAGACAGAGATTGTGGTGAATGGGTCTTGTAGGGCAGGAAACCATTGCAGAACAGCCAGAAAATAAATACAAGGAGCCTAGCAGGCTGGGAGGACAGGAAAAAAGTGATTTGGTTATTTTACTTTTTGTTGTGCAATTGGGTAGAAGTCTTTTCCTTACACTTCTAGAAGTGAAAGGAACCAGGAATGACCTTTAAAATGTTGGAATACTGGGGAGATGGGGTGGGGGCTCTAGGCCTCTTTGGCATGTGGAAAACTATCCTAGCAAGTGTTGCCAGGAGATGTTATACTGATGACAACTGTTGCCTTGCTAAGAACAGGTTGTTGTTTTTTAAGGCTATAAAGTGAAAACAAAACTGAAAAAGATGTATAAATATCTGAGGACTGAACGGAGAGGACGGTGAGAGCAAAACATAATGGCACAGGTAAGTACCTCTTTGCATAGGAGACATTGTCTATCGATCCCCACCCAGTCCAAAATACCTTCCCTTTGATTGTCTTCCCTTTGACTGTTTTTTCAAAGTAAGAGTTGCCACTTGACTTGCTGCTTGCCTTACGCTGCTATCTCTGGCTACAAGCCAACGTATGTTGAACATAGTGAGACTAACTTCTGTGTAAGAATGCTTAGGATAGTTTTGTCTCTAGCTCAGAGCTTTCCAAACAGCGTGTTGCGACACATTCATGCGTCGGCTTCAGTGTGTCGGTGTTTTCACATGAATGCTGCCTGCGCTCCTCCCGGGCTGGAAAGGGGTTAGTTTAACCTCCGGTTTGCTAGTGAAACTGAATTACTCTGTCACAAAATGCTGCGTGTATAAAAAGTGTGTCACCAGCAAGAAAAGTTTGGAAAGCTCTGCTTTAGCTCCTTCCCCCTGCCTTGCAAGTCTGACTTAGAAAAACCGTGGTGAATAATCACAGGGTCCAAAGGTTGAAAAATTCATCTACTTGTGAGGGAAGAGAGCGAGGCTCCTGCAAGCCATGGATACTAAGTTATGATTTCTTGCAAAAGAGAGCTTGGAATCAAATCCACGATAATAGCAGCAACTCAGTAAAGTGCTGGGCTCTGTACTGTTCATATGCTTGTAATTGTAAGTTTTCTTGACTTAAATATTTTTGTTTAAGTTTGCTTGACTTTCATTTTTATACTTTATTTTATTATGCAATAGTTGAACTGCTTTTTGTTTCTACCTCTGGCTCGTTATAAAACCAATAAACATTAAGTCTTTTAAAAAAAGAGCTGGGAAGGGAAACAAACCTCAAGAGCAGGAAACAGCTGTTAGGGGGATTTCAAGAGCAGGAAACAGCTGTTAGAATAGGGGGATTTCCTCAGTGAAAGGGGATTTCCATCTGGCCTTGCAGCATCTACAGTGGTACTTCTGGTTACGTACTTAAATCGTTCCGGAGGTCCATTCTTAACCTGAAACTGTTCTTAACCTGAAGCACCACTTTAGCTAATGGTGCCTCCTGCTGCCGCTGCGCCACCAGAGCACGATTTCTGTTCTCATCCTGAAGCAAAGTTCGTAACCCGAGGTACTATTTCTGGGTTAACAGAGTCTGTAACCTGAAGCATCTGTAACCCGAGGTACCACTGTATTGGATGGGGCAGGAGGTGATGTGGTGCTTTTCTCAGGCTTAAAGAACATGAGAATAGCTTGCATCCTGTTCTCATAGTGCAGTGGTGGCAAACCTATGGCACTCAGGCCTCTCTGTGGGCATGTGAGCCATTGCCCCAGCTGGTAGCTTCCGTGCTTCCCCAGCTGAACAGTCGCGATCCAGCTCCTGTTCCTGTGCAAGCAGCAACGCTGCCTAGCGGAGCAGCCCGATCCCACTCCTAGTTGCCCGCCAGCGGGAGCAGGTGGGGCGGCGACATTCCTTGCCTGCTCGCCTGCCACTCAGGCCCGGCCTTCCCTCACTCAGCGCCGGGGCTGCCACAGCTGGAGAAGGAAGTGGTTGCTGTTGTAGCAGCAGTGGCTGGAGCCAAGGCTCGCTTGTCACCCGCCTGCCATCCCTCACTAGGAAAACGGAAGTGTGGCACTCAAAATGGAAGTTATAGGTCGGAGCTAAACAGTACAAATTGAGAGCATTTGCAGATGACTTAGTACTGACGTTACAGGAGCCAGAATCTAGTACCAAAAGGGTTTTAGAATTGATTCAAGAATTTGGTCAAGTCGCAGGATTTAAATTGAATAAGGTAAAAACTAAGGTTTTAGAGAAAAATTTAACACCAATAGAGAGAGAGAGGTTTCAGAATGAGACAGGTTTAACAGTGGTCAAGAAAGTTAAATACTTGGGGATCAATTTGACAGCAAAAAATGGGAACTTATTTAAAGATAATTATGAAAAATGTTGGGCTGAAGTGAAAAAAGATTTAGAAATTTGGTCAAATTTGAAGCTTTCACTGCTGGGCCGTATTGCTGCGGTTAAAATGAATGTATTGCCTAGAATGTTGTTTTTGTTTCAAACATTGCAAATTGTGGACAAAATGGACAGTTTCAAGAGGTGGCAGAGAGATATTTCTAGATTTGTCTGGCAGGGCAAGAAGCCCAGAATAAAATTTAAAATACTAACAGATGCAAAGGAAAGAGGTGGATTTGCCCTGCCAGACCTTAAACTTTATTATGAATCAGCAGCTTTTTGCTGGTTGAAAGAATGGCTGCTTCTTGAAAACACTGACATTTTGGATTTGGAAGGTTTTAACAATGTATTTGGATGGCATGCATATCTGTGGTACGATAAGGTCAAAGCACATAAAGCATTTAAAAACCATATTGTCAGGAAAGCATTGTTTAATGTTTGGATAAGATATAAGGATTTATTGGAAAATAAAACCCCAAGGTGGCTGTCACCGATGGAAGCGAAAGCCTTGAAAAAGCTCAATATGGAGGTCAAATGGCCGAAATATTGGGAAATTTTGGAACAAGATGGAGATAGATTGAAACTGCAGAGTTTTGAAAAACTAAAAACAAAGTGCGAGACTGGCTTCATTATTATCAGATAATGGAGGCATACAATTTGGACAAGAAAATCGGCTTCCAGGTGGAAAAATCAAAATTAGAAACAGAATTGTTAGAACCCAAAACTAAAATTTTGTCAAAGATGTATAACTTGCTGTTGAAATGGAATACACAGGATGAAACAGTGAAATCTGCTATGATTAAATGGGCACAAGATGTTGGACATAATATTATGTTTGCTGACTGGGAACAGTTGTGGACCACAGGTATGAAATTTACGGCATGTAATGCCTTAAGAGAAAATATTATGAAAATGATATACAGGTGGTACATAACCCCAGTCAAGCTTGCAAAAATCTATCATGTGCCTGATAATAAATGTTGGAAATGTAAAGAAACTGAAGGTACATATTTCACCTTTGGTGGACGTGCCCAAAGATTAAGGCTTTCTGGGAGATGATATATAATGAACTAAAAAAGGTATTTAAATATACCTTCTTGAAGAAACCAGAGGCCTTTCTCCTGGGCATAGTCAGCCAATTGGTGTTAAAAAGGGACAGAACTTTCTTTATGTATGCTACAACAGCAGCAAGAATACTCATTGCAAAGCATTGGAAGACACAAGATTTACCCACACTGGAGGAATGGCAGATGAAATTAATGGATTATATGGAATTGGCAGAAATGACTGGCAGAATCCGTGACCAGGGAGAAGAGTCGGTGGAAGAAGATTGGAAGAAATTTAAAGACTATTTACAGAAATATTGCAAAATTAATGAATGTTAGAATGATGTTGGATTGAAGTTAAGTGGTTTCTAGCTGTATAAGTACAAAAGAATATGGAAAAATTGGTTTTTAATATGTGAAAATCTAATGTTACAATATATCAAGATTAAGGATTAGGATTAAAAAGGAGGGAAAGGAATTGTTGGATTAACAAATTGAATTGGAATACAAAAAGAGGAGGTATGAGGAGGTCCGGGAAACAAGTAAACGTAAAAGAAGTGAGGAAAAGATGGAATTGTTTTTAACTGTTTTTTCTTTTTTTTTCTACTTTGTATTTTTCCTTTTTATTGTTAATTTTTTATTAATTTGACTTTTTTTTTCTTTGAAACTTTAATAAATATTATTTAAAAACAAAAAAAACAAAATGGAAGTTATACTCAGAACAGAGCATGTTCGGCTTCCGGAAAAGGTTCCAAAACCGGAACACTCATTTCCGGGTTTGAAGTACAGTGGTACCTCGGGTTCAGTACTTAATTCGTTCCGGAGGTCCGTACTTAACCTGAAACTGTTCTTAACCTGAAGCACCACTTCAGCTAATGGTTAAATACGCTTCAGGTTACAGATTCTGCTAACCCAGAAATAGTGCTTCAGGTTAAGAACTTTGCTTCAGGATGAGAACAGAAATTGTGCTCCAGCGGCGTGGCGGCAGCAGGAGGCCCCATTAGCTAAAGAGGTGCTTCAGGTTAAGAACAGTTTCAGGTTAAGAACAGACCTCCAGAACGAATTAAGTACTTAACCCGAGGTACCACTGTAAAAGAAAAGGCTGCCTCTGTGGCTGTGATCCTATGTATTTGGGAGTGTGTTTCATTGAACCTAGTGGGACTTACTTCTGAATAAACTTCCACAGCTGTTTTACGACGGAATACATTGGCCCACTTACGTCTTGCAGAGACCAAAGCCTGGAGACCAGATTGAGATTTCTCGATTAGGTTCCCGACACTGGGCTATCTACGTAGGTGATGGATATGTGGTCCACCTGACTGCTGCAGGTAAGAGCTTCTCATTATTTCCTAGAAAGGGTGGTTTTATGAGAGGGAAGAATATGATAGAGATCACTGGCAGATTACCCCTGAAGAAACACAGCCCTTGGGGGGGGGGGAGGTTCCCCACCACTGGCTTAGGGACTAATTGTTGCTGGAAGTTCTATGTCCTGATACTTGCAATTGTTGTAAGCCAGTTAGAGGACTGCTTTGTAGCCAAGAGATTGCATTCTGGTTGGTTGTAAGTTGTTTTGGGTTGCCTTGGGCAAGATAAGAGTGACTAACAATTTTTTAAAAAATAATAGTATTTGTCAAAAGAACAACAACAACTGATGTCTTCTTGAAGACAATGTTGTTGATGAAATGCAGGGAATCCAGGCCTAATGGTCACTGTTTCTGAGTTTCTTTTCTCTCTCTGTTCTTGAGATGGGAGTACAGGAAGTTTTTTCTCTATTTCTCTACCTGCCGACACAAAAAAGGCAGTGGTGAAGAAAGAAAAGCTTTCATATGTGGCGGGGATAAGCGACTGGAAGGTCAACAACAAGAAGGACAGAAAATATAAAGCCAGGCCTGTAAGCAAAATAATTAGCACTGCAAATGAATATGTTGGGATGGAGATAGACTACAATGTGGCCACAAAGAACTGTGAACATTTTGTCGCCGAACTACGATATGGCCCATCTGACAGTAGACAGGTGTGTAGAATTTATTCACGTTTTCGTAGTGGCAATCTGTGCTGTGATATTGAAATTCTTTCTAAACTCTTGATCCTGGAAAATTAGGTGAGATTAAGAAGCAGTTAATTTACTTTATTTTTATGTGAATATAATAGTTGAGGAAAAGCTGCCAAATGATAGATATAAAATACTAATAAAAGCTAATAAAAGACTGATAAAAATAATAAAAACCGCACGACTGATGCGGAGCTCACGCCTATGCTACCACTAATGACGCCATCTTTACTTGTAGTATATTGAAGGACTGCAAACCAGAACAGAAAAAAATGGATATCATAACTTCTAAAAGTAACTTGAGTTCACACATTCAAATTGTCTGAAGGAACAAATGAAAAAATTAAAAACTCAGAACTCAGGTTTTCCAAATTAATGAAAGGCTTGTACCCTGATGAAAAACGTTGGGTCTGGACTTCCGGAGGTGGCGCCATCGGTAATGGCGGATTCCCTCTGATCTGGAGGGAACTGGCTCCACAGAAATCGGGTCTAACACCACTTCGGCGCAGCGGGGACCCCTTAAATCACAGGCGGGTGAAGCCTGTGACCCTGGGACTCGGCGGGCACTGTCTGCGCCCCCCCAATCGGCAAAGGAACCCGGCAACGGGCTCTGGAGCAGAGCAGGGAAGTGGCGCTGTGCTGTGAGTCGTCTGCTTCTTCTGTGGAGTGAAGCCGCGCAGCTGTTGCCGGAGAGCGCTGCCTTTTTCCTGAGACAATTTGGCTTTGAAAACAACGATCCGTGTGTAGGATAATCTCGTAATTAAAGGAACTGTACAAAATTTGGAATAATTTGGTACCGAAGCGGAGAGGTATATAAAGGAAGTCTGCCTCCCGCTCTTGTAAACAGAACAAAGCATTGAACTTGAAAGCGGAAGCTTCAAAAGACGCGTAAAAGGATTACAATCCGACTATCAAAACTGTGATTTCCCCCCCTCGATGTGGGGGAGGAGGGGGGAGAAGGTTTGAACGTTATTTCCCTAAAAAAGAGAGGAAGAGGAGACAAAAACCACCGCTCAAAACCCCGGAACAGGTTCCCAGTGTCAGTAAGAAGCCTTATTACCGTGCTGTCTCTGAACGTATTTTCTGACAGTTAGCTCTGCATTTGAGATACAATTTGGTTACAATATTGCTGACAGGTATCTCCTGGTTTTAAAGATAGAAACTGTTGCCTTTTTGGTGAATTGGGGGACTAAAGGGAGAAGTAAATTACTTTAAGATCTTTATGACTGTTACAGTGTCCCCCTAGTGGAATTTGGAACTTGTTACAACTGCAGCTGGCCTGAGGGAATCTTCCACAACAATTTCCTGGGAACTTTCCATTTCAAAACAACTTTGACTCTGACTGTGTGACTGACCTTGGGTTTTATCTTGAGGGTTATGGCAGATGGGAAAGAGAAGATAGATTTGTTACAAGCAACGAGGTCTGGCAGAGTATTTCGCACAGACGGTGAACTGCAAAGAAGGGCCTCGACATCTGGCCCCCCCGGAGTTCCAACAGCAACCTCATCGGCACAACCCAAAACTAAAGGTATGGCAGCTGACGATGCCCTGGCTCAGGCACTAGCTAAACTTAATGAATCTTTGGATAGAATAAGTAAACAAGCAGCCGCGGCATCGGATAAGATTGATCAAAATACGACAAGTATTAATCAAAATACGGCAAGTATCAATAATTTGGGACAGAAAGTAAATACTAATACAGAAACTATTCAGAAATTATTACAGGAATCTGGTTCGACACGTAAGACTGCCGAAGAGGCTAAAGAAATTGCTACTGCTACATAAACAACTTGAAGACCATAAGTCAATTCTGTCTATGATCGAGTTGAAGGAGAAACAAGTGAACTTAAGGGTCAGGGCTGTACCTGAAGTGGAGAAAGACAATTTGATTGAATTTCTTACGCAGGAATTCCTAGATTTTTGGAACCCAGATTTGGGGAAAGACAGTTTTAAGATAGTGAGTGCTTTTAGACTTGGAAAAGGAGGGAGAAAGAACAGGGTGAGAGACTGTTTGATCACTCTCCGAACAAAAGAAGAGAGAGACAAGATTTTGAGTCTGCATTTCCAGAAGACTTTGGAAATACAACAGTCAAAAGTGGAGATATTCAAGGATATTCCGAAACATCTTCTGGACCTTAGGTTTAACTACAAAGACTTGGTCACCCTACTCATCGCAAAGTATTGGAAGACACAAGAGCTACCCACACTGGAGGAATGGCAGATGAAAATGATGGACTACATGGAATTGGCGGAAATGACTGGCAGAATCCGTGACCAGGGAGAAGAGTCGGTGGAAGAAGATTGGAAGAAATTTAAAGACTATTTACAGAAATATTGCAAAATTAATGAATGTTAGAGTGATTTTGGATTGAAATTAAGTGGCTTCTAGCTGTACAGGCTTTAAAGTTATAAATAGATCAAGATTAAGGATTAGGATTAAAAAGGTTAAAAGAATGGAAAATTGGTTTTTAATAGGTAAAAATTTAATGTCATATTATATTAAGATTAAGGACTGGGATTAAAAAGGAGGGAAAGGAATTGCTGGACTAACAAACTGAATTGGAATACAAAAGAGGGAGGTATGAGGAGGTCCGGGAAACAAGTAAATGTAAAAGTAGTGATGAAAAGATGGAACTGTTTTTAACTGTTTTTTCTTTTTTCTTTTTGTATTTTGTATTGTGTACTTTTCTTTTTATTCTTGAATTTTTCTTTTTTGTTGATGTGATTTTTTCTTTGTGAAACTTTAATAAATATCATTAAAAAAAATGAAAAATGTTGGGTCTGTATTCTTTTAATATTTTTCTAACTATAGCCACAGAACTCAGATTTTTGCATGAAAGCATGTTCTGTTACAAGGAATTAATTTTTAAAGCATATTTTAAACCCAGAGTTAATTGCCTTGGAATCTGAATTTCAAATCTGGCTATTTTCTGTCTCCAAAAGAAACATTTAAAGCAAAGTTTCATATCAACTCAGTTGTGAGAAATGAAGGACCATCAGCCACTGTGAATAAAAATGCTTAAATCTCTTATTTTTTGCAGGTGGAAGAACCTTCTTTTCTAAACTGGATAGCAGACCAGATCGGTTGGTAAACACCATTAGTTGGTGTTCAATATATGATGAGACATGTGAACAATCTAAAAGACTGTTGGAGGACAATCCTAGGCTGGCTTCTAACAAGATCCCATTATAAAAGAACAACAGTTATTGAATAAAAACGAAAACATCAAATCAATCAAGAATTAGGTTTTCTGTCTTCATCCATTGGTGTGAATTTTGAAGGATGGCTCTGTTTCAGTTTGTGCATTGTTTTGTAAAGTGCAGAGTAGTTAAGAATTTGAATGTGAATTGAATCAAATTTCTCCCTGCTACCTCTAGATGTGGCAGAGGACACTGATCAACGTTGAAGTAAGGTTCAGTTGCCAGTCTGGTCAACTTCTTTACTTGGAATGGAGGATGCCGCCATCTTGTTTCAGGCCACCCTTGACACGTACAACGTTTCGCTGCAGGCCTCGGTTGTTAAAAATCAATACGTGTCTATATAAAGAATCCCACAACAGTGTAGCTTGTGAATTCATTGGCATTTGGGTTTTCATAGCCCCCCTCAATGGAGGAGGGGAAAGAGTCTTCTTTACCTGTGAGTTTAGCTGAAATCTCAGCCCTCAATCCTTCTTCCTTCACCTCAACTTCCCATTTTCTCAATATGTTTTTGCTTCCTGGTTTTGGTTCCCATCTCCCATCTGAGACCAAAAGTGACAGAAGCTCTTTCTTTCTTGCTTTCTTCCTTCCTTTCTTTCTCTGCTCTGCCATGAATAAAAAAAAATCTAGTTAAAAGAAACTCATGAACAACAATACCATAATTAAAAATTAAAGGAGAAGGAAAAAATATATATCCAAGAAACATCATTATTAAAAAAATATTGAAAGAGAATGTGCCCTGGTCTTCAAGGGTGGCTTTTCAAAGGGGGTGGGCAGGCTGGGAATCTTCATGCATTCATGGTAGGTTAAGCATAGCCCTTTGGCTCCTGGTGTTTGGACTTTGCAAATACAGTCGTACCTCGGCTCCTGAATGCCTTGGGAGTCAAACGTTCCGGCTCCCGAACAGTCAAAACCCAGAAGTGAGTGTTCCGGTTTTAGAATGTTCGTTTGGAAGCTGAATGTCTGACAAGACTCTCATGGCTTCTGATTGGCTGCAGGAGTTTCCTGCAGCCAATCAGAAGCCGTGCTATGGAAGTTGAACGTTTTGGAAGTCTAATGGACTTCTGGAACGGATTCTGTTCGACTTCCGAGGTACGACTGTACTTGGGAATGTTGTTGATGAAATAAAGACGTCCCATTAGCTAAAAACAGATGCATGTTGAATACTTAAAACACACACACAAATGGGATTTCTAAAATTGAAGGATCAAAGGAGCAATTGAAACTGAAGAAAGAGTTTCACATACCGGTCCACCCATTTACAGCTTCGGAAATATGGTAATGGTGTTAATGCAACTGAGCTCAAATTAGTTACTTGGCTCCAGAGCTACATTTAAAAAGGTAGAGCAAAATGCTGGTAGTGAGCTATTAATTAGGCCTTATCTGGTTCAGGACTCTTAATTTTGAAATGAATTGTTGGTTGCTTAATAACAAACACACTTCTTTGAAAGTGGATCGCAGTGACCCTGAGGAAGCTTCTTTCCACATGGATTTGCTTAGCATTAGAGTCTAACGGAATTTTACGTGCAGCAGGTGGGCTGCTATTTCGGCACAATTAGAGAGTCACAAACATCAGCCACATAGTTGTTCTCCAAGCCATCTGAACGTGGCATTTCTTCATTTTGAAAATAACATGATGGCCCCATTTGTGGGTGGGAAATGGGAAGGGCCATTTATTCAGGTGGGGGTAAAGTCCTTCTCCATACTTCTTAAACTTCTGGAAACAAGATCAGGCTGAGGATCCAAGAGATTCCTGGGAGCTCTTCGGAAGATTTATAGGGTGTTTAATGCTGTGAATCTTTACCTACAGTCAACCCATATAACTATGCAAGTCCTATATCACAAAATGCTAATAAGTGTCCAGTGACTTCATTGCAATGGAAGCAGAACCTGAGGTCATTATGAGCCCCTGAACTCCTCAATGCTTGGGGAATTGGGGCACACACACACACACACAGAGAGAGAGAGAGAGAGAGAGAGAGAGAGACAGGCAGGCAGGCAGACAAACAAACACACTCCTCGTCAAAGCAGGTACAAGGATCAGAAAGAAACTGTCTGGAAGACAGAGATAGCTGCAGCTTCTAGGATGCAGCAGTTGTGAAGGGGAAGTCTTCCCAATCAATGGTATGCCCATGCCAAGGAAAAGCATCACCTGCTTGAGGGGTGGTGAACCTGTGACCCTGCAGACATGACTAGGCATGGTGACTAATGCTGATGGGAGTTTGGAGTCCAACAACATGTAGAGAGCAGCATGTTGGCTACCCCTGCCTCAGACAGAGATTGTGGTGAATGGGTCTTGTAGGGCAGGAAACCATTGCAGAACAGCCAGAAAATAAATACAAGGAGCCTAGCAGGCTGGGAGGACAGGAAAAAAGTGATTTGGTTATTTTACTTTTTGTTGTGCAATTGGGTAGAAGTCTTTTCCTTACACTTCTAGAAGTGAAAGGAACCAGGAATGACCTTTAAAATGTTGGAATACTGGGGAGTTGGGGTGGGGGCTCTAGGCCTATTTGGCATGTTGAAAACTATCCTAGCAAGTGTTGCCAGGAGATGTTATACTGATGACAACTGTTGCCTTGCTAATAACAGGTAGTTGTTTTTTAAGGCTATAAAGTGAAAACGAAACTGAAAACGACCTATAAATATCTGAGGACTGAAAGGAGAGGACAGTGAGAGCAAAACATTATGGCTGAGGTAAGTACCTCTCTGCATAGGAGACATTGTCTATCGATCCCCACCCAGTCCAAAATACCTTCCCTTTGATTGTCTTCCCTTTGACTGTTTTTTCAAAGTAAGAGTTGCCACTTGACTTGCTGCTTGCCTCACGCTGCTATCTCTGCTGCAAGCTAACATACGTTGAACACAGTGAGACTAACTTCTGAGTAAGAATGCTTAGGATAGTTTTGTCTCTAGCTCAGAGCTTTCCAAACTGCGTGTTGTGACACATTCGTGCGTCGGCTGCAGTGTGTCGGTGTTTTCACATGAATGCTGCCTGCACTCCTCCCGGGCTGGAAAGGGGTTAGTTTAACCTCCGGTTTGCTAGTTAAACTGAATTACTCTGTCACAAAATGCTGTGTGTATAAAAAGTGTGTCACCAGCAAGAAAAGTTTGGAAAGCTCTGCTTTAGCTCCTTCCCCCTGCCTTGCAAGTCTGACTTACAAAAACTGCAATAAATAATCACAGGGTCCCAAATTCATCTGCTTGTGGGAAGAGAGCGAGGCTCCTGCAAGCCATGGATACTAAGTTTTGGTTTCTTGCAAAAAGAGAGCTTGGAATGAAATCCACGATAATAGCAGCAACTCAGTAAAGCGCTGGGCTCTGTACTGTTTATATGCCTGTAATTTTATGTAAGTTTTCTTGACTTAAATATTTTTATTTAAGTTTGCTTGACTTTCATTTTTATACTTTATTTTATTGTGCAATATTTGAACTGATTTTTGTTTCTGCCTTTGGCTCATTATAAAACCAATAAACATTTTGTCTGCAGCATGTGTTGGATGGGGCGGGAGAGGATGCGGTGCTTTTTTCAGACTTAAAGAACATGGGAATAGCCTGCTAGATCAGGCAATGGCCCATCAACCTAGTCCAGCATCCTGTTCTCATAGTGGAGCAGGTGGCGCTGTGGACTAAACCACTGAGCCTCTTCGGCTTGCTGATTGGAATGTCAGCGGTTCGAATCCCCGTGAGCTCCCATCTGTCCCAGTTTCTGCCAACCTAGCAGTTCGAAAGCACACCAGCACAAATAGATAAATAGGCATTGCTGCGGGAGGGGGTCAGGTAAACGGCATTTCCATGTGCATTCCTTGCCTGCTCGCTTGCCACTCAGGCCCAGCCTTCCCTCGCTCAGCGCCGGGGCTGCCAGAGCTGGAGGAGCGGGTGGTTGCTGTTGTGGCAGCAGCGGCAGGACCCAGCCCTGGAGGGCGGCAGGTGCCTGCTCGCTTGTCGCCTGCCTGCCTTCCCTCACTAGGAACATGGAAGTGCAGCACTCAGAATGGAAGTTATACTCAGAACAGAGTATGTTCGGCTTCTGAAAAAGGTTCCAAAACTGGAACACTCATTTCCGGGTTTGAAATATTCAGGTTCCAAGTAGTACAAGAACTATAAGATATTTATTAAAGTTTCAAAAATAAAAAAGAAGTTACAATAGTAATAATAAGAAAAAGGGGGGAAAAAGAAAAAAGGAATAAAAAAAAGAAAGAAGAGAATACAAAATACAAAGAAGTAAAAACAATTAAAAACAAATCAATCTTTCCATATCTTGTCTTTCATTCACTTGTTTCCCTGACCTCCTCACACATCCCCTTTTTTGTATTCCAGTTCAGTAAGTTAATTCAGCAAATCCTTTCCCTCTTTGTTTTTATCTTAGACCTTTGTCTTAATATGTAATAACTGTATATTCTCATCTGTTAGCAGTCCATTTTTACATACTCCTTGTAACATTGCTGCTAAAAACCCCTTAGCTTCATTCCAACATCATTCTAACATTCATTAATTTTACAGTATTTCTGTAGATAATCTTTAAATTTCTTCCAATCTTCTTCCACCGACTCTTCTCCCTGGTCTCGGATTCTGCCAGTCATTTCTGTTGATTTAAGCAGAGTCTGGTTGCCCAGCGGAAGGATGAGCAATACGTGCTACATACTCTATATTGCTTTATTTACAGTTCAAAGCTGGTATATTACAGAAAGACATCTTGCGTCTGCAGGAGCAGAAAAATGCATCCTCTCTCCTCCACAGCTCGGAGAGAATCACACAGTGAAAAACAGGAAACCAGTGTACGTCACATCCAGTCTCCCTTTCCCGTGAGAAACTCCAACAGTACAGACTGTGGAATGTAAACACCTGTCTTGTGACTGCAGTTGCTGCTCAGTGAAGGAAATAGAAACCAACATCCTCCCCTTTCTGTGAACATCACTGGGCAGCGTGTTCGTACAATATCAGTACAAACCCAACTTCTGCACATAGGTACAGTGTTGATCCCTTGATACAATCTTGGACAATACATCAGCAGGAATTTCAATACCTGGCATATAGGACACCGTTACGAGTCCCTTCTGAATACATTCCCTAGCATGCTGCAACTTTAATTGCAAGTGCTTTGTGCTTTGCTTACAACCTTCAGACTTGAGCAAAGCCAAACATGCTTTGTTGTCCTGGTAAACCTGGATTGGACATTTGACAGGAATTTTCATATCTTTGCACAATTGTACTAACCATTCACAATCCTTAAGTGAATAAGACAGTGCATTCAGTTCGGCTTCACAAGTACTTAAGCTAACTGTTGTTTGCTTCTTGCATGACCAATCAAACAGACTCTGATTGTACATGTAGCAAACTCCAGACGTACTTTTCCTGTCTGTAGTGTCACTTCCAAAACTTGCATCTGCAAATATCTCAAGACCACCAGACTTCTGATTGTTAAATCTCAGTCTGTAATGCATAGTGCCTTTCAAATACCGCGCTATGCGTTTCAGAGCTTTCAATCCTTGACACTAGGATTGTTGACTTGTCTGCTTAGCAAATTACAGCTAACAGCAATGTCTGGTCTTGAACATCTGGCAATGAAGTTTAGCTTGCCTAGCACACTCCTGTACAGTGTAGTGTCAGAAAATGCTTCTTCAGTGTCATCTACCTGATAACCTGTTGTCATCGGTGTGTCTACAGGGTTAGCATCCATCAGATTTAGTTTGCTTAACACATCAGCAATTTTCCGTGACTGGTGTACTAGAATGTTACCATCTTGATCTCTCTCTATTTCCAGAGATAGGTAGTTGTTTACCTCACCAAGATCTTTCATGTCAAAGTGCTCTTTCAGTTGAGCTAGGGCGCTATTGTACATTGCAACATCTTTCCAAAAGAATAATAAATCATCAACATAAAACAAACAGTACAGTTTCTTTTGCCCCTCCTCTTTGACAAATACACATGGATCAGCTTTCCCTTGCTGAAAACCTAGAGAAAACAATACTTCAGTGAGTTTTGTGTGCCAACACCGTGCACTTTGTTTGAGACCATAAAGGGATTTCTTCAGAGCACAAACAAATCCCTGTTTTACCTGTACGCCATCAGGTGGAAGCATATAAAGTGATTCATCTAGAGATCCGTACAGAAAAGCTGTATTAATATCATGGTGACTAATGTGTAGATTTTCCTCTGCAGCTAGCTTGAGCATAAGCCTAATGCTTTCATATCTCACTGTGGGTGAATAGGTCTCGTGATAGTCTTCACCTGGTACCTGTGCAAAACCTCTGGCTACCAATCTGGCTTTGTGTCTGACTATCTTGCCATTTTGATCTGTCTTCGCTTTGAAGACCCATTTGCTTCCAAGCAGTTTCATTCCTGGAACTACTGGAACTAGCTCCCATGTTTTGTTCCTTTCTAAGGAATCAAGCTCAGCCTTCATGGCATTTAACCATGGCTCAGCTTCCTTTGAATCCAAACCCTGGATTTCTTGGAAACTTGAAGGTTCAAATACCTTCTTGGAGCTTTTAACAGCTGTTACTGCTATCTTAGCAAACTCATCAGCAAATCTCTTTGGAGGTTTGCCTTTTGTGGCTCTTTGTGACCTACGAATTATCCTTAAGTCTTCAACACTCTCCTCTTCCTTCTTAGGAGAACAACGACCTATTGTGAACAATGGTTCCTCCAATTCTTGATCAGAGCTTTCAGAGGGTCGCATAGAGGCTTTCGCACTCTCGAAATCCTCTGAATCACCCGATTCAGTTTCAGATTCAGACTCAGAACCTTCATCAGTGGGTGTGGGCTGTTGTGGTTGCTTTGACTATCCTCAGTCTCATCACCGTCATGAGGATAACATTGGAAAATTCCCACATTCTCCCCCACTTTGCATTGTACTCAACACTTCTCGTGAGCTTAATTGTCTTAGAGTCAGTCATCATTATTCTGTAAGACCCTTTCTGATAACCTAGAAAGATACCATGCAATCCACGCTTGTCTAACTTGGAGTTTTGTGGTGAGCGAACCCACATGTCAGAACCAAAAATCTTCATGTGTTTGATGTATGGCTTCTTGCCAAACATCTTCTCATAGGGGGTACAACCAATCGCTGAAGATAACCTGCGATTGTAACTGTAAACAAAACACGAGAGAGATTCGGCCCAATAACTCTCTGGAAGATTGGCATCATGCAGCAAGGTTTTTAACCCTTGAAGCAAAGTCTGATTTGCCCGTTCCGCAAGTCCATTCTGCCATGGCGAGCGAGGACTAGACAAATCGTGTTGAATTCCTTTCTCAGTCAGAAAAGCTTCAAACTGCTGAGAAGTGAATTCCCCCCCGCGATCACTGAAAAGAGTCTTTATCTTCTTACCATGCACATTTTCCAACCAAGCACAGAATTCCTTGAACCTAGGAAAAGCCTCCGATTTCTGCTTGAGATTGTACACAAAAATATATCTAGAAAATGCATCAATGAGAACCATGAAGTATCTATTTCCACCCAAAGAGGGCGCTAGTGGACCAACCAAATCAGCATGAACAACCTGGTATGGTTCTGTAGCTTTCCTACTAGACACCTTACCTTTCGCAGCCATTTTCACCTTGTTTGCTGCGCATGCTTTGCACTTCATGTGGTACCTGCAGGGTTTAATAGTCATACCTTCTACCAAGGCAGGCATTTTAGATACTGCCTCAAAATGCAAATGACCAAATTTTCGATGAAAATCGTGAATACATTCTGCATGCAAACTTTTGTTAGAACCTGCAATGCAACAAGTGTCATCCTGCACCACATCATCATAATACAAAACAAACAAATGATCAACATATTCTGCATGCAATACATAATCATTTTTCTTTGTGATGATGCACTTCTTGTTCTTGAAGGAAACGTCAATGTTCCGCTCATTCAGCTGTCCAACGCTGAGCAGATTATGTTTGGCGTCTGGCACGTAAAGCACATTCTGTATCGATAAGTCCAAACTGTGAAGAACAACAGTTCCGTAGCCTTTACTGGGAATAGTGTGGTCATCCGCCTGGTGAATCGCACCTTCCTGCGGTGTAAAAGACACAAACAGTTTCTTATCGTTGCACATGTGGTGGGTGGCCGCTGAATCAACAACGAAGAAAGATCTAGACGTCTTCTGGACCTCTGCAACCTTTGGAGTGAAGCGTGAAACCATAGCCTTGTGCTGCGTTGTCCTAGACACCGGACCTTTGCCTTTGCCTCGGCCTTTTCCGCGCGATGAGCTTTCGCTGCGCTGCTCTGTCTTGGCCCTGGGATGTCTGCATTCCCTCTTCATATGGCCTAGACGTCCACCCGAGTAGCATTTCACTGCCTTCAAAGCTTTGGCGCCATCTGGTGGTTCCACTGCACTATGGGATGACGTCTGTGAAGACTCCCCCCTTGCCCATGCAGCTAGCACCCGGCGATCTGCTTCATTTAAAATCACGGCAGTAACAAAGTCCACTGTCAGCTGAGCAGTTGGTTGCACAGCAATCTGGGTTGCAACAGACTCCCAACCTGAACCCAAAGATTGTAGTATCATGAAAGAATACACAGCCTCTGGAAAGTTGAGTCCTCTCTGTTGCAGCTCATGTCTCAGATTTTGCATCTCCATCAGATGTAAACGCACATCTCCACCTTCAGCAAGAGCCATATTATGCAGCTTGTTAAAATAAAACATAGTGGATCCAGCTTCTGTCCTTAAGTGAGCCTCTCTCAGAGCGTCCCAAATTTCTCTGGCTGAGGTCTTATCACGCAATAGACAGAGCTCTTCTGGGGATACTATCAATGTAAGAGTTCCCCTTGCTTTGGAATCCTTAGCTTCCCATGCATCTGTAACTGGAACTGGGGGTTCCTGTAATCGACCTCAAACAAACCCTCTTTCCGCAGAATTGCCTCTGCATACTGAACCCAGTCGCTGTAATTTTTCTTGTTGAGCTTAGGAATCCCACAAGCATCCTGAAGGGCCATCATGACTCTGGCATTAGCCTTCAGCGTCATATGCTGCTTTAAATCTTGCTGCGTCACTGCTGCAGCTGCTTTATTACAAAGGCACACTTAAAAGTTACTTCGATTTCCCCAGCATAGTGACTTGTGCCTGGGAGCCTTTTGCCTATTCCCGGCAAAACCGGCTTTAAAAGTTCAAAGTCCAGCCATAAAGCCATTAACTTGAAGCTGGCAGGCTGCCCGGAGCAGTAGCACATACCTCATCAATCACTTCTACGCGCAGAGCAGATTCCGTTCCGATCCGTCCCTCTGCATTCCGATCCTTTGCCGGCACTCCGATTCGACCTCTGGAGTCCATAACCACGTGTTGATTTAAGCAGAGTCTGGTTGCCCAGCGGAAGGATGAGCAATACGTGCTACATACTCTATATTGCTTTATTTACAGTTCAAAGCTGGTATATTACAGAAAGACATCTTGCGTCTGCAGGAGCAGAAAATGCATCCTCTCTCCTCCACAGCTCGGAGAGAATCACACAGTGAAAAACAGGAAACCAGTGTACGTCACATCCAGTCTCCCTTTCCCGTGAGAAACTCCAACAGTACAGACTGTGGAATGTAAACACCTGTCTTGTGACTGCAGTTGCTGCTCAGTGAAGGAAATAGAAACCAACAATTTCCGCCAGTTCCATATAGTCCATCACCTTCATCTGCCATT